TAAAAAACATAGGTCATTTTGGATGCAAAAAAAGCCACACGAGGGGGATAACAACAGAAAATTTCTATTCTGAGTATCCTATTGCGTAATTATCTTGCATGCATTGTACATGATATGTAATACAAAAGGGATCACCTCAATCGAGGACATGATGAAATCAATAAAGGAGACATCAACAGCACATTAAAAATGTGTACACCTTTGAGGTGGTTTTAGTCATTATTCGTCATCCTGAAATCTCCATGTAAGACTGAATAAGGCATGCTTAAGACAGCCGTTATGTTCTTTTTGTTGCCAGTGTTATGCTGATATTGTTTCTCAAAAAAAGAGACAAGATATGCTTATATTCAAAACTGCCTGGAGATCTATCCACCGCTGATACCTTCATCTTGTCACAATAACACAGTTTTTAGCCATCTCACCTGTGAAGAGAAAATCAAGAGAAAGTTTTAACTGCAACAAATACTCACAGTGAGTTCCATATTTAGCCTCAACCCTCAACAACAGTGTCTTACTTGAGTAAATTGCTTATTTTGTATTCCTCTGGCGAATGTTTTTGTCCTTGTGGTTGTTTGTTGAATTTGTTTTCCTGGGACAGAAGCAGTTATGATTTAGTGACCTAAGAGTAATAGCAATTCACATTGCAGTAGCTACAGAGTATAAATTGTAAGTATGGGTGTAAAAATATTTATTTACTTACATTGGTCCCACTGGTTCATCGTCTATGCCATTAGGGTAGAATTGGGACAAAAACAGAACACAGAAGTCAAATATGTCATAAAGAAAAAAATAATTGTACTTCATATTTCAATGCATTTTGCTATTAATAGAATTTACTTTGCAATGCAGACAGTTTTCCCTTTTCCCAGGCAGCTACTAGTTAACTGTAATTTCACTAATGTTCAGAAACCTGAAATTTGTCAGAGAAAGGTTACCAAATCCTTCAAACAAGTGAACACTAATTATGAGATAATGCAGCTGAAAGCACAGAAATAATAGAAAACTGCTGTGGCGGAGTTGTGCACTGGTGGATTGCGCTGGCATCAGAGACACAGGAGTCAGCTGCTGAACATCTTTTGTATGCACAAGCTGTGAGTCTGACAAACAGACTCAGAAGGAAAACAAGTAAGCAAACACATGAGTCTGCATTTAAAAGTGTCTTGCATTAGACAAGGTTTTTGAAAACTGCAGTCTGCATAGTAAAAATTCTTGCTTGGGAAAAAGGTCAGCAGTGACATATTTATAGTAGACAGGCTTCAATGTAAGAAACAATTGTCTTATGATAATAAACACTAATAAACAACCACAGCTATATCACCAAGCATTGTTAAGTTAACCTCGCATGCCATCTGATCTAATTGGGGTTTCAGTTCATGTCAGACAAAGTATTCATAGTACTTCTGGAAGGACCCATTGTATGGCATCTCAGCATATAGAGGCTGTATCAATTCAAACCACAGTGATTCATATTTTTATTCAATGCCAATGTCTTTCAAATTATGACACGTTAATGAGAATTCCATATTTTTAAGAAATTATTTTCTCAGTGAGACAGTAGTAAAAGTGTCTTTCTTGCCATACAACAGTGCAATAAATAATATACATATACTGCCACAATAAGAAGAGAGACTTTGGGGAGGAGAAGTGGTGTATGATAGTGAGGATTGTTGCACCGAGTGACAAGTTAGTTCGAAGATTGGAAGCCTTGGGGGTTGACAAGGTGGTTGGTGTTTGGCATACAGATGAAAATGTGTCAGCAGGTAAGTAACCAGTCACAGAGATATTTTCCATGCAGTTATACGTCTGAGATAAGCAGCATTGGCAGCATTCCATGGCGTTAATATGGAGCAGATTATGGCGCTTATAATGTTAGATAAAAACATGACGCTGTGATCGTTTGGAGGCTGAACATCTGTTGACATATCCCACCATTTTCACACCTCATATATAAACATCAGATATGCTTTCTTTACTGTAAAAGCCTTTGCAAGCACTGATTAGATAACAGCTGTTTATTTTACTGTGTGAGATTGATAGCTGAATAATAATAATCACTGTTGTTTTTTATGTAACTTTAAATGCAGTATGTGGGTGGAACTTTTTAGCCTACATTTGTCTTCTTACACAGAGTGAGCTGTTATTTACCAAAATCATCACGTGGTGAAATATGTAATTTTAGCATGTGGTTTTGAAATACAGGATAGAAATGCCAGCCTCTGCCTCAGAGCCCTTTGGCTGCAAAGTATAAAATGTTCAAACTTAGCTAAGTGATCAAGAGACCACATTTCATAATGCGTGCAGACAGGGGCCAAAACCTCCGGGGAATATGGGATGCTAAAAGGAGATTTTCGAGAAGCTGTGCCTCGTGAGCAGGGAGTCCTCGTTCCTGATTTGAATGGCATAAACATGGCGAATATAATCCACCTTAATCGCTTCATTTTTCCGGTAGATGAAACCAAGCTAGCGGCCATGCACAGAGCTTACTCAAGCAGGGTGGCTGGTGTGTCTGTGTGTGTGCACATTTATTTTTATAGTAAAGCTTTTGTTTTTCAAATTATCACTACTTGGTCACAAAAAATAATGTTACCTATGCCGGGCATGTAATATATAGTTTAACCAATATTAATTTTAGAGTTACAGTTTATACATTATATATAATAGATAATGTTAAATGACAGACTATATCATGAATCTTGTTAACCGCTCTTTTGCAACCTATTAAATGATTAATACATGTCATTTGGAAAGTAAAGAAAAGGGAAAGGAGAAAAAGAGGAAAGAAAGGGCTGGCTGTTGCCTGCAGCTCTATTTGTTAAGTCTGTACTAGAGTTTCATTTGCAACTGTTGCCCAGCTGGAGATATTCATATTAATGGGGTGACGGTTGTGGTTTTTCATTATGTCGTGTGTTCATGTTTCATTCCAAAATCGAAAAAAAAGCAAAGGCACACGGGTAGAGGTCAGAGTGAACCTTGGGTGACTGTAGATGCCTTTGGGCTTTCAGGACATTTTCGTCTGTGTGATTGTCTTTCCCCTGAAGCAGAGCCCACTTTGTTTGCAAAATGGAAAAACTGAGCTGATATATAGGGAGCTAGATTTGACTAAACTAAATTTATTTTAACTAAATGCACACATGGCTGAATGTTTTACATAATCACATTCTATACATCCTATAATTATTCCTCCAATTTGCATTGATGTATCTTTTTCATTCCTGTGTTAACTTTGCATTTCTTTATCCACGTATGTGGTTTTGATATTTATACATAATGTTCAGTCCCAGGCAGCAGATGCACCTTGCCTTTGAAGGGTTTAGTAGCATTCAGGTACAGTACCACTGTACTGGCCTGAATAGAGTGCATTGTTATTCTGTACATTAGAATTCAAAACTGAGGGTCAGACACATTCTCAGGAGTATTAGAATAAAAAAAACCTGACTGGTGGTTTAAAGCCTTAATATTTCTTGACTCGTTGGTTTCTTTGCTAGACCAAAAAGTGTCAATAAGCTCAGTTTGTTTGAGGCAGCAACATTGAGTGTTTGGAAATGTTTACTTTGCTTCTGCATACACTATAGGAGTCAGCAGAATGAGCAAAGAGTGTATCAAACAGTGTTTTATACTTTTATATTTGTCAGTGTCCTGCAATGCAGGCAGCACAGCAAACTATTTCAACCATGGTGCCAAGGCCATGATAAAGTGATCATAAAGAGAAAATAGAACTATTAATGTTTGAGCAAAGTAGTAAGTAAGTGCCAGTGACTATGTCAATGCACAAATATCAAACTCACACTACCTGCATGGATAATGAAAAGCAGAAGAAATTGTTTTCTGTGTCTTTTCATTTTAAAATTCTATTTATTCTGTCATTTACTTGTTTTACTTGATACATCAAGGATTTGAATCTCACATATAATTTTAGGGTGTTAACAACAGTTACCTAGATAATTGTGAAACTGAATTAAATCATGTTGGTTGATTTGGATTTGAATATGTGTAATTCACTATAGCATTATCATGTTCGTCAGTTGAATATTTGCTAACATTTTTGGTAACAAAGTAGATGATGTGTCTACTGCGCTCATAAGTATGGCATGGGCCTGGTTGGATCTTTATATTGTTTTTTCCCCTTTTTCTCTAGAAACATTAACTATGGCTATCACACTAAGTTTGCTAACATAGTTATATATTTGATGTTACGTTCAAATTCAAACTAAGCTTTTAATATCACAAGATTATACGACTCTTCAGTGATACACTCCATTTAATCCAACAACCATTAAACAATTGATGGCAATGGAAATGAATGGATACAGGTTTTCATTTTGTAAAAACTGTTGTAAAAATAAACTTAATATATTGCATTAATATCTCGACAGTGTTGAGGCTAAGATTGTAATGTTTCTGGATGGAGTGCAGGGTCATAAAAACATAGAAATTGACAGAAAGAACAATCTCTGAAACCATGCAGGATCTCTCACTTACCACCCATTTAGATTATGTTGCCATTTGGAAAGAATAGGGGGAAGGGGAAAAGAATAGTGACCAATTAAGTAATAAACTGGGTCTGATATATTTTGAAGCTTCATCAGGCTGATCTCCCATCAGCATGGAATACAGATGTGTGGTTAGTACAACACAGAAACGGCCAACTCTTGCAAAGGTTTGCTGTGTGTTCACCACATCAGACAAGGAGAAGAGTCCTTTTGATCGTTACTACATATGTCCTCAGAGAGCTGATGCAATCTGATGGTTGAAGAGATTACTTGCTTCTGTAAACAAGCCTGTGGTTGTAAGATCGGATACTTACTGATGCCATTGAACTCTTGGAAAGGGTGTTGCTGTGTCAGAGTCATATGTACAGGACAAATTGAATGGGTACTTCACAAATATCAGACACCAGAGAAACACACCACGCCAAAGTTTTGAACATAAATAATGTGAAATTAACTTTCATAGATACAGGGAGGTTTTCTTACCATCGATGATGTCGTCCGGCCTCTTGCGTTTCTCGTACACAACAATGATGACAACTAGGATTATAATCTCGGCAAGCACACCCAGGAAAGGCCAAAGCGGTGCAAGATGGCTGCGCACACGCAGAATAGTGGTCTCAGCAGTGTTTCCTATCACGTTGGTGGCATTGCATTCATATACTCCAGGATCTGTGTTTATGTCCAGGTTTAGTATGTAGAGCTCTGTGTAGTTGTCTCTGTTGGTGATGAAGAAGCGTCCAGTAGAGTTGTCGATTTCCTTCAACACAATGAGCATTCCTCAAAGTTAATTATCGCTCTCTATATATTAAATACACATATAAAGTGTGTTTGTATCTATATATATACCGTGTAGGATGTTCCGTCCCCTTTACGCCATGTCCAGGTGGGATGTGGGTAACCAACAGACTTACAGTACATTGTTGCATTTTCCCCCTCGTTTTTATTTTCACTCCTCTTGTGGCCGGTGATATCAGGTTTTGCTGTAAAGGTTAAATAAATAAATAAAATTGATAATTAGCTGAGTTGGCAGAGGTAAACCATTCAGAGGAACGTTTAAACTCCTACCAGATGGCATGAATAAAGGAAGCATGATTGGCTGTTCTGGCTATGGTAATAATTGGTGGTATTCAGACGTCTATGGAAGGGAGAGGAGTGTAATTAAGAGACTCTACAGCCAGGCAGATTCACTGAAGCAGCTCAGTGTCATAACTTCAAACTGTTGCAGTGAAGAAGAAGCTTAGCAGGCCGTTCTAAGATATTTGTATTAATCATGTACAAAGCATTTCATCTTTTACTTTTAAGTCATGTCATTGCAGTATCTGACACAGAGTTTACTGAATTTGTGTTGTTACATATTTCCTACATTTCCTGTCCTCATTTCCACTTGACTCTACAATCCTCTCATTGGGATAGATAAAATCATTCTTTCTTAAGAGGCCAAAACACTGATATAGAGGTATTCATCTCATATACTGAGGTACATTACTGCTCATGCTTATGTAGTTCATTTATTCAAAAATGTAGCACAAATTAATTTGTCTGTTTTTGAAAAAACTACAGCTCTGATTAGTTATTTTGACAAAGGCTTGCTGTCAAAACCTTTTGGGTTTTTGTGTAATGCTTGCAAAATGACCTTTGATAAAAAATAAAGATGTTTTAGTAATAGATTTGAGCATTTGTAGTATACCCAGCCTTTGCAAACGGGAATAAGACTCTGGAATTGGTTGTAGCATTTCACTACAATTCATAATGAGGTCATGGAAGAGGGGGATCAGTATGATACAAGAGCCTCCAGATGTTCCCATTCAAATTAATTCCACAGTGAATTAAACAAAAGTGTTAGCTGATTCAGCCCAAAAAAATTACTGTAAACTGGCTCTTATTAATGAATGTACCAATGATAAAAAAGCAACACAAAGGTTATAGAATCAAATAAATTCAGCCAAAGGCCATAAAGCATTGCAACAGATGCCACGTCAAACTGAGTCTTTCTCAACGGAGAGACGCAGACTTCATTTAACGACACGCAGCATCAGGAAGATAACTGTTCCTGCTTTTCTAATAATCCTCAAAATGACAATAATTCCTTCCATGCAATTAAGCAGGATAAGAGAGAGGCCTGGAATGAGCATTTTTCTGTTGTGCTTGGATAATAGAGCAGGAGGGTTCTGAGCTCTCCGGTGACATTACCCCACTCTAATTATGGTGCACACATGCTCCCTGAGCAGGGGAGTGGCCAAGCTCATTTGTGCCTTATCCTAACTGTATTATGTCAGTGAGTGACAGCACAGAGAAAGCCCTCAGAGTGGCTCTAACACAGGCAGGAACCTTTATTTCACACTCATGACTGATTATTGTCATTATTAAATCTGTGCGCTAGACAGTGGTAAAGTGAAATATGAATATGAGAGGGACGTGTGAGGAGACACAAGGTCAAGGCCGTCACAAAGAATAGAAATTAGTATTAGAGTACGATGACATTGAATTTCAAAGAGCCATTAAATCAAATCCTTAGTCATTACCCTTAATTAGATGCTTTCCACATTTTATGTTGAAGTGACTTTGAGAATTTGTGCAAAAATCTTTAAACTTGGAGAGTCTAATTTATTTCTGCACTATACTGTGAAGTTTTTTGTATGCATGTTCACACATTTTCTTCGACCAATGTGCTAAACATTTAGACAAATATCAGGTTCCAAATATGTATCTGTGGTAAGCTTAGTATCACAGACAATAAAGTCCTCTCCCGCCACGAGATGGCTGGGACAGGATTCAGAGCCTTAATCCTACAACATCACAGAACCCTCCATCTGTTGCCTCTGAGCTGAGTCCTGCAAGGATGAGTGTGCCAAGGACACTGTAGGCGAGGGATCTCAGTGAACTGCTGCCAGAAGCGCAGTGCAAAACTGGCTAGCATAACAGTGGTCTTGCTACCTGGGTCACGAAAGATCCCGCACACTTCTAGAAAATCACAGGACCATTTTATTCCTGTAAAAATGTTTTGACGTAGAATGCACGGCTATTTTAAGGGCAGAGTCGTGCATCATCAGTTTAGTTAAAACACTGACTTTTTCTCCAGGGGACAGTTAGCAAGCCTCAACAATTATTGGCCTGCAGTCCAATGACGGTTAGGACACTTCAGTTTGAATGGTGATGAGTACCGTCATCTCACAGTCCCGTAAAAGCAGAACACACGCGGTCATCACCCATGTTACGCAATCAGGCAGCGCTTTAAGACAGCCGCAGAATAAGAGGCAGGACATGCTCAGTATGCACCATAGCCATGCCACAGCAAATTGGCTTAAGCGCTACACACAGCCAAGCTTCTCTTGAACAGGCATTCACTTGCCCTTTCTCAGAGAAGATTCCTTATTCAACTTGATGGCTTTGCTGTCAGCTTGAATGAAACCAACACAGTAGTTCTTTTATTAGCTTGTCTAGCTCCAACAAGAACTGTAGTTAACTATTTCTAGTATTAAACATTTTTAGCTCTTATAAATAAAAAAGTAATTTACAGACTGTTAACCACAAAATAATTAGTATTTTGAGTGTTTAACTGCTTAGAAGGATGCCTCCTAATGAACCAAGTGTTTGCATGTTTTGGTGAGCTTGTGCAGTGCCTGTCCATTTTGCTAGGCTGTCCTCTCAGTGAAAGCTCAGAGGGACAACAGCCTCAGGATTGCTCCCTGTCATCACCACTGTGCTGGATGAATTCAAACATCTTTGTCAACAACATCTCCCTCCGCACAGCTTGAGAGGTGGGTAACCTTTTTAGGACACCCTTATTTTGCCTTCTTCAGCAGAAAACCACAGAAAACATTATCATGCCATCATGTAGTGAGCTAAAATTAAGGCTGGGGCTCTTTCTCCATACTTTCATAATAGAGAAAAACATGTTTTTTTAGGTGAGATTTGTGTCATTTGTTTCACAAAGGTTCAGCTGTCAGAGGAATCTTACCTTTTACTTCGATTGTTGCATTTGCATTTGGTGCCATATCAAATGTGAACACACACATGTATTCCCCAGAATCGTCCGCTCGTGGTTTAGTGATTCTGCAACAAAACACAGCACACCAATGTTTATTTCATTATTTCAATTTACCAGTCACTCACATTGCAAGTAGTCAAGTAAATAAAGTGAACTCATTTCAGTTTGACTCTAGTAATTACTTCCAAATACAGCAGTGATCGCTTTAGGGGCTTACAAGTCCATGGGAGACAAAATGTTGCCATTACATTGTTATATTACGAAACAGCAGCTCTGAGTTCTGCAGGGAAGGCACCACAGGCATTTTAGCTGTAATCTCCAGAGTATCACTGATGTAATGTGACAAGGAAGTGACCAATTGGTCTTATCTTGTGGGTGGGGAGAGTCTGTGGTGAGTCTACAGAGGCGACAGTAGCTTTGTGCTCCAGTGGTTATACTGTGTGACAGTGGGAACTAACAACTAGTACTTTAGGCAATAATAGAGTTTTCTACTTAGATGCAAAGGTATAGCTCAACATTGGGTTTAAGACAGTGGGTGTTTTGAAAACCACAAACTCAGGATTAATCCTAATCGGTGGCAGTCTAGGAATATTTAAAACCTATATGTTACCATATATAACAGGGTTCTTACCAGGTGCTAGCTTTTGACTATTTCAATATATGTATTGACATTTTAATCAAGGCAAAAACAGCTATGAGGGATAAACTTCTTTTATCAGCATTATATTGTAGTTTAGGCTGCATTTTTCTGTCCAAACCTGTATGAGCCCGACCCAATACCAAGAGGCATCCTGTTTTTTGTATCTGAACCCAACCCAAGCATGATCCTTTTAAGGTTGTTTAAAGTTACTGTGTCCCACATGGTTATGTAATGCAAATACGGACATTTGCAGTGGAAATCATCAACCCAGCCAATGCTACAGACCAGACCCAAACCTGAATATCATTTTTTTTGAATGTGTAGGGTGCCAACAAGTCCTGATGGGTTCAGGTTGGGTATCCACTCTCCAGTCTAATTTACAATGTCATAATATTTTGTAGTAGCTTGCTAACAAACCTTGCAACATAATGTAATGAAACGTGCTGTTAAACTTACATTGTCTTATTCCCCACTGTGCAATTTGTATAGCAATAGCCAAAACACAACTCCAGCAGAAGATTTTCCTTTGAAACTGTATTAAAATATGTTGAATGCCTTAGTAACGGCTTGAAGCTAAATTGTACAAAAAAATCTAGCTTTAGGTGAGTTGTCGTATCTTCAATGTCTGGAAAATGCACAAAACACACAGACTACTTATTATAGAGCAGAGAATGTCTGCAGTGCTTTAGTTTGACCCATTTACAAGCAACTACCAGCGGTTAGTTGGCCAAGCAGAAAAACAAACCTGAGGTACTCTTTCTCTGGCTCTAAACCACACTCCCATTCCAAACTTGGTGCCGATCATTAACTCTCAGCAAGTCTAGTTCTCAACATTTTCTCACAAGTGTTTCTTCATTCTATTGCTGAGAGCACTTTTTATCCCCACAGCTTCTCCCAAGATGTGTCACCTGTACGCTGTGTTCATTTGATCTGTCCGTGTATTGGCGATCTCCAGTCCGTTCTTCATCCAGAAGCTTTCCTTGTGAGGGGTGTAGGCAGTGGTTAGGTTACACTGCAGGGTAACAGGTTTGCCTGAGACTTCCGCTGACAGGATGATCTGATCAGAGGCATTGATCTTTGGTTCTGGAAGACAGACACAGTCAAAAGCCTTATCACAGAACTGGGGCTCAACGGTGTTTTAACTCTTCCTCCCATACTGTGGTAGGAGTAGGCTGAATGCTGTTTTTATACAATTCAAGTAGGAGGGTGTCAATGAGTTGAAGACAGAAGACCAAATAAACAAAAGACATATTAAGTATATGAAATGGCTGGAATGCCTTGTCAAGCATTTATCTTGAGAGTTTGTCTCATGACCTACAGTAATTCACATAAAATATATACGGCAACTTAAGGCCTATTAGACAAAAAAAGGTATTACATTAAATTGATTTGATTCTACCTATCTCACACCTATCATTTCAGAGCACATATTTTTTTCAGGATTTTTTTTTTTAATGTACAATACAGTTGTGCAGATTCCATGACGATATCTGACAGAAGATACTTTGTAGCTGATAACTGCAGTAATTTTATGTGTCATTGTAATAGAGCCTATATTAAGCTTGCATATCAATGTCATCACTGAATAGTCGTCTGACATTTTACATTTGTGCTGTACGCCTGCTTGAAGTACTCCAGCTTCTAAAATACTGAGCACACTGGTTACTAAACAATACCAGGGTCCACCTTTCAAGGGCATTCAGGGAAACGGGAGGTGTCATCTGAGAGCGAGGTGCCCTTTGCTTTGCCTTCAGTAGTGAGCAGGAAGCCTCCTCTGCCCTGCCCCTCCTCCTCTTCCAGGGCGGGCCAACCATGGCAACGACGGAGCCCTCGAGGGGAGGAGCAGAGGAGAGAGGCATCATAATCCTACTACTGGCTGCTGCTGCAAGGCCACTAGCAAGAAAAAAAAAATAGGAGAGGGGAAAGAAGGGCTGCTGAGACTGGCATGTGACGTCTATTAGCATTCATGCCACCCTCATCTTGCTATTCTGTAGACTCAATAGCTGAGGGGTAATCTCTCCCTCCCCCCTTACATTGGTCTCACCAAGCAGAACCACATGTACTATTAATAGTATCTTTGAGACATGCGTACACACACAACATGAGGTACATAAATTAACATTTAGCAAACACGGCACTGTGGTCCACAGGCAATTTAACCTGAAGGTTGTTTGTAGGACACAGTGTGACATCTTACAATGTGGTAGCTGCTGGATAATACAACACCATATCAGAATGTAACCAAATATCAAATACTGCTCTAAATCAGTCAAGATGTAGTGAAACTTGAGTTCCTCTTTCCGCTTGGTTATTGTATCTAATTGACTGACATATATTACATAATGATATGTTTTACTCTTTAAAATTACTGCATTATCAGTACAAATATATTGTATTATCTACGTCTCTACATTCTGGTAGCTCATTATAGTAAAATTCTTTAGTCATATTTTACTTTTATATTTTTCAAATTTAATTAAACAAAGTAGCTGAGACATAGTGACCGACTTGGCAAGGACTATATTTATGAAACGTCATTGCAAGAGGCAAGGCAGGCCCTAAATTCTGAAATTGTTGGTCATTACATTACAAGAGCTGTACTCCAGTGAGAGGTGCCAGTAACTGAGCTGGCACAGAGAAAATGGCGGGTTTCCTGAACACATGGTTGATCTAAATGGTTTCTCCAATCTTAATAAGGATATGCAATTTTCAATGAATTTTTATGTCTGATTTGACACACATTTATATTTTTCCAGTACAAATATGAGAACACTTCACATAACAATATGACTGTTGAAAAAGCAGTCACTTTAAAACAGAATAGCTATTTAGTTTATCGAGTATATACCCAGAGTATGGTTTAGCTGTACTTAAAATCCACTGAGATCCATGCAATTAGTGAAAGTGATACTAACTGAAAAATCGGTATTCGAGTATGAAACACTTGAATACCACTTTCAAAGTGGCTGAAAGAGATTTGACGTACATTTTTTCACAAAGAAATCACCTATGTTTTGCTTGAATTGTGAGTGTGATAAATTCCAATGGCAAAGATTTTTTTTCTTTAATGGAGAAACATCCATAGCCTCAACAAAGGCTAATAACCTTTTCACAGTTGCAACTTCTTCAACCTCTAATGTTGGACTGAGAGAAAACTGGACCTAGGATGCAACAATGACTCACGATCCCTCTTGAGGTACGATGTGACATTACGGGACGGGCTCAGGCTTGGTGGATAGCATGAGCCTGTCAGCTAGTCTGTCATCAAAACTTATTCCTGGTGTTAATCTTGTTTCATTTTTGAATGTATGAAACAAAAATACTCACCTGTTAACCACATTTTCGTTGAGAAATTGACAATGAGGGAGAAGCTGATAGACTCCTCTACAGACATTTTGATACTGACATAAAAAACTTTTGCATTTAAATCACTTGTTACTGGCATTTAAATTAAAGCTGCTTGTCTTTGTTAAGAGCAAAAGTGCCACATTATGGCAAAAGTGCTAATTTGTTATCTTGCATGAAGTAAAATTTTAGGATATACCTTTTTTATATCCTTTATACTACATATGTAGCCGCAGCCAGTAGCCTGTAGGGATGAGCTTAGCATCAAGTCTACCAGCCAAGAAATAATTTGGCACACAACCCCCTATAAAATCCCACAGTGTTAAACATTGGTTTGTCACGTCAATCTAAAAATATGCTGTTTTAATTTTTACCTTTGTACAACAGCTAGGCATTTACCACATGTATAATAAGCTAAGCTAACCTGCTGCTAGCTGCAGCTTTAAACATTAGGGGTATTATTGCTAAAAAAGCAAAGCCAAAATGTCTTTTTGTGTATTTCTATAAACATTTCTTGAACAAGAATGTCTAGTTTCATACTCAAAAGATTTTAAGTACATGTAGCACATGTATGAAAGGTGTTCCTCGGTACATGTTGTCCATGCATGCATGCATTTTATTTATTAATTTTAGAAAATTCAACTTTTAAATGGAATTTGCTCAAATGTCCAAATGCCAAATACAAAAGAAATGATAAAGCTTTGTAATGGGCATCGGATACTGCATATATATTTACTGATAGGGAGTACATTGATCTAGAATTATTCACATTCTCAAACTAAATTTAGCAAAACTAGTAGCCGAAAACAAGACAATCAGACTTTGGCATGTTTCCCCAGCTGCAAACTATAAATTCATTTCAGTAGGCTATTATGTATAGCCTGTTATAAACATGTAATAATTTGGATATTACATGTATATGCAAAGAACATTTACTTCTCAGTAATGACAGAATATATGTAGTGAATAGCTGTTGTCCATTGCACTTCTTATAGAAGTAGAAATTGCTTCAACCCTACACCTAATCAAATAGTGCTCACCAGAAGTAAAGAGTTTGTCAGAGCCAGCAATGATCAGACTCCTCTAAGCTTCTCAGAGAGCTTCACTATGACTAACAACATTCCACATCTCCTTGTGCTCCAGTGGGCAGAGCACTGAAGCATGCACAGATTAGAAGAGTCCAGTTAAATTCAGTTTGTTTGAATGTTTGTCTTCATAGAGCCATAGAGAGTTAAAGGATATAATGTCATTACCGATTCATAGTCACACGCTTAATGGCTGAGAAGGCACAAGGTTACACATTGCACAGGCAAGTCCAGAGAAACTATTTTACAGAGCTTAAATCTCTGTCTCATCTGAACAAGAAATGAGACACTCAAGGCCCTTGCATGGTCTCATCCTGTATCGGATTACCAGACACATTTGAAATGTTTGCTTTTATCAAGAAAGAATTGACAGCAGGAATCACTCTTTTACACCTAAACTGATATCTCCTTGTGTCTTCTTATATTCCCATTTACACTGTGCCCAGAGTAAGAAAGCCAAATCAAAAGCACAATTACTTCAAAGCACCACTAGGTTTCCGCCGCATTCAGCAGGCAGAGCTTTGAAGTAAATAAAACAATCCACACAACGTAAAAAGCACAACATTATGTTCAGGGTTAGGTATCAGAAGTAAATCCATAGATAGGAAATGGGTGAAATTAGGATACAGAGAAAGGGATAATGATCTGAATATTGTAAAAAGGACACAGACAGTTTAAACAAAGGGTTTGTGTGGGAGGAAAGAGAAAAATGTAGATTGAGTAAAGCTCATGGGTTAGTGGTCACTTACAACAAGATGCTTAAGGGATTTCGGGAGGGATGGTACTGGCCATTGGCATAAGGAATTTAGGCATTTAAAAATATGATAAAAAGCAACTAAAAATGCAAATTAACAAATATGTGGTAGTTTGTTTTATTTTTATCTGGCCAGCTGAGGGGGGGCATAGGGGCATAGACCACTCACTCTGTAGCACTGAAATGGTGGCCTGGGCGCGGATCCAGGTGATGGCAGGGTTTTGTCGGCGATCATTACGCCTGGGGTCGTTGCTGGCCCGGCACTCATAGGTCCCAGAGTCCTCCAGTGTGAGGCGCGTGATAACGAGCACGCTGACCCCATTGGCGCCGTAAGCCGTGTTGATAGTTACCCGACGTTTGCGGGCTCCGTCCCACAGCTGCTTGAAGGAGTCGGCTCGGTTGATCTCAGCATACCACCACTGGATCTCTGGAGTGGGGTTGCCGACCACGTCGCAGTACAGCTCAAAGGTGTCCCCCGTAAGCTTAGTCTCAGACATTGGCGACTTCACAAACCCAGCTGGAGAGGACAAGTGTATCAGAATGGTAGGGAAGGAAAGGTAAAAGAGGGTTAGAGCAGTAAGAAGAGGTAGAAAGGTTAAGGGATGTAGAAGGAAATCAAATAGGACCAGAATACAAAAGAGAGGATGATTAAAGGCAACTAAAAAAGACCCTCAAATCAGATAGGTGGAAAAAGAAAAGGTTAATGATTGCCTAAATCCAGTCATGTCAACATCAGGCTTCCCTGACCCACTAAGGCCCTAAAACTATCAAATAAAGTCATAGTCACCCAGTCCCAAGTCCTTACTAGTAAATCATGCTTTTATTTATTTTATTTAGTTTTCTGTTATCTTGTTATGTTGTTATCTTCTAAAAAGTAAGTGGAATAGGATTTTGAAGTGTACCTTTCATTTGCTAGTTACAGTACTTTGATGAAATCACTGTGATCACAATTGATAGTGAAGGGGAACCATATAAGAACATTTTCAACATTAAAGAGTTTTTTTCAAGGCCCCCTTTCAAGTACAACAATCACTCCTCCCCTCCATATGTGTACTGTGTCACTTAATCTGCCGAAATTAAAAGTTACAATAATTAACATCTTGGGTAAAGTGAGCAGCGTAAGTCAACAAGCATTGCATAGTATTGCATCCACTAGAGATGTTAGTATCTAGCATCAGACTAAAAGATATTTTTACCTCATCCAAGGAAGATGTTTTCATTGCATTTTTTTTGTTTGACTGTCTGTAAACAGGATTACTACTTACTGACCCAAATTCCTTCACATTTCGTGGAAGGGTGGGGCATGACTCAAACAAGAACCTATAACATTTTGAAGCGGATCCTGATAAATAAGTACATCCAGGATTTTTTGAGAGCCCTTGCCATTATCCTCTAAGATGGTCTCTCTGTCATGTGTGTGAAGTGATCATGGAATCATAAATCCTTGCTGTCTTGTGCCACGACAGACTGTGCACTGTTCCCAAGCCAATCACTTTTTGGGGTCTTTTACCAGTGTGACATTGTGAAAAGCTCTTGCAACTGACTCCAGGGGACAAGAGCGCAAATAAACATGGCATCTGAATATATGTATATGATACTGGCTCTATAAACCTTTCCTCCAGCTGTCGTTTTTGACAATTATGACAACATCAGATTTTGGCGCCTGATGCCTGTTGATTGTTTCCCAGTACCCTGTGTCTTGTGTCATCTGAGTCTGAGTTTTTCTTTGTCCCTTCTTTATAAAAAGTCAGTATTCATCAAATTTGGTAAATTGAATACTGCTTTTAAGTTTCTTTTAATTTTACACCTAGTTGGGTAAAAAGTAGGATTCACCCTGGGCATGTTTCCAGACTGTCACAGGACAGGACAAACACACCTATGACCAACTATAGTGTCACCAATTGACAAACTGCACTCTACTCTTTTTAAAACATAGGCCTCTGAATATAGAGTATAACTTTATGTGTATATATGTATGCATAAAACCTCATCTCATTTCATCCATATCAGCTCCTGCTGTTAACACCAGAAATTGGGTCAACCAGCTTTAACTTTGGATAAGCTGGTCTTTAACAGCAGGTTTTATAAATTTGCATGTAAAGGATAGTTCAACCACCTTCTCCATGCATCAATACTGAATGAACTGACATTTTGGCTTAATCTTAAGAAGTCGGACAAACGGCCTAGATTTTTCTAACACTAGTGGATATATATATATTTTAATTCTTAAATATAGTCAAATTCAAAATGGAATGGGATCCAAAAGCATTATAACCACAACTGTGAGAGTACCATGCAATGTCTGTGCCTGATTCATGACCTTGTTCCACATCAGTGCTTAGCCTAACAATACACTGCCAGCCTTAATGAACCTTATCTAATGACAAATCACCTGGATCACAGACACTGTTCTCTGCCGCCCCTGCAGCCTGTCAGCTGTATACCACATGTGCTTAAATGAATCAGAAAAAACCCCCAGCCTTAACTTTGCCCTGAATTGTTGTAGTGGAAATTGGAACAAAGAGCCTTTGTCTCTTGGGTGGTAGAATATGCGTCGTGTCTAAATACGACAGCTCGTAGGCCTTCCTAGATCTGGCTGCCCTGTTCAAGGTATCATACGCACATAAATAGATAAGTCTAAGGAAGGAGTGTAAACAAGTACAGTTTTCAGCTCATTCCCAAAATGAACAGTGAAACCAGTTATAATTTATTTTAATATTTTTTTGAATTTAGTTGCCAGATCAATATAAATACTATTCACTAAATTTACATGGTTTATTTAGTATTTTTCCTTAATGCTATAATCCACAATGTTTGCAATGCTTGAGAACATTATTCTCTCTGCACTGCTCTCAAACAGGCTGTCAAAGTACAGCCAAAATATTTCACATACTTAACAATAAATGGAATCCAAACAGTGCCATGGTAACAAGTCTGTTGCCCAACACCAGTTTGTGACTCACAGTCATATGAAAATAAATTAGACGATAGGGAGGAGAGATTATGATGAGAATTTCTACTGTTTAGAGATGTGTCGGTGGATATGGGATGCTTACAACTTGTGTTTCTCTGTGCGATGCCTAGAGATATTCAGAGTAATTAGCATTTGTTTCTTTTCTCTTGAAACATCTGGGCCCATCAAGCTCACCACATAATCCCAGAGGGTGAATCCAAGCCTTTCCACCCACACTTCTAAAGCAGTATCTTCAGTTTGACAATTTCATATGGGATTCTCTAGGGTATGACGGTAGGCTAAGCTCATGGCTCAGATGAGCATTGTCTGCCCTGCATTATAGAGGTCTTAATCACAGTATAGTAGCGGCTCAAAAAAGAATGTCCTCCAAGGTGATGACAAATTGAATCAGGAAAAAGAAACAGATGACTTAATTCAAAATCAGGCTCAAAGAGGCTCAGAGGAGTAATAAGCCCAGAACAAACTATAGACAACACTCAGCAATGAACAGACCCAATTTCCGTGTCTTTTTAAACAAGGAGCTTACACTGGGAGTGAAAACAAAACAAAAAACAGCCAGCTGGTGCTCATTCATTTCAAATGTGTGCTGGGAGATGAGAAGTGACAAAGAATGGGGCTGCGGATGGTGGACAGATCTCAGCAACTTGGTGAGAAAGTACAGTAGAATAAAGATGAGCAGATATCCTCTTTGTGCAAATGAGCAGAGGGTTGACTAGTTCTAATCATTTTGTTCATGAAAAATGCAACAAAAAAAGAGCATTTTCATGTGTATGTATATTTTCATTTTTTTGATGTCCATGTAGTAAATAGAAAGCAGAATCAAAAAATACGTCTGTCTGATCAATTGACTGCTGTTATCACAACTTCAACTTGTTTAACGTTACTATAATTCTGGTTTGAGCGTTTCTCTACATGTTTCTCTACACAGTATGAACATTACCAAACAGTTGATATGCATACAACAGGAAATAAAGGTACATAAGGGCACAATAAAACAGCACAATATAGTAACTCTTAGTAGACTGGTCTGTTTGTACACATATTTTATAGGAGGACAGGAGGACAGTTTTCATGAACTGAACTAAGTTCATATAGAACACAAGCTTCCCTTATGGTTGAGTAAGTGAAACTGTCACTTTAAAGTTGTGAGCCTGATGAAATGTAAATGCGGCCTGTGCCCTGTTTTTCCCCTAAAATCTATCATTTAGGATAAAATACCCCCTTCTATAGGCTTTAAAGGTGTATCATGAGTTGCTTGCTCTTTTGTGGTAATACAACATTATACAGCCAACAGTGTATTGCAGCTGTTTAGCTACTATAGGTGGCTAATTGTTAACGCTTGCAGAGCTAACATGGGAATGTTCTGTTTAAACTAACCTTTCCCTGTGACCACTGGGTGTTGGTGGATTTAAATGATTCAAGAATGTTTTGTAAGACTAATGAAATGCCTGTAGCGACACAAATGAACCGAAACTAAAATATTAACTCAGCAGATATTGTTGTGGTGGGGTTTCTTGCTGAATATAGCCTTTCTTACAATTATATAACAGGATAGTTGGAACAAATAAGTGCTTCCCTGCAAGAAGGGATATGGAGTTTCTCTCTACGTGTTGCTCTGACCAAGGATTTTAAATGTTTGTATCATTGGATAGTTTAAGAGAAATTATTCAACACAAAATTAATAAGTCCTCAGAGTGCTTTGTCTGACTTGGCTCACTTTACTCCAGTATGGCGTGCATAATAGTATCACACAATGACCTGAAGCTTTCTGTGACAAGCCATACTGTCTCAGGCTGTATAGAAGTCACAGTCATTACAGCCTACATACTCCCCTGATGTAGAAAGAGAAAAGAGCTCCCCTGAGGACTGACAGCTTGCCACACACACCACCACCATCATGCAGCCTGAGTGTGACTCAGTTTTTTGCCTACAACCTGGATTCCCATCCACAGTCACACAATACAGACGGAGAAAGCAGCAAGTAGGAAACACCCTAGGGCCACTGAAATGGTTATGTGCTGTTTGAGGTTGTGGGTGTCTTTGACTTATCTGCATGGTACTATGATAGATACCTGTGTCTTTGTAGGTTGTATGAAACGGTAAATAACAGCTGCAGGTGTTTTGTGGTTGTTTTTCCTGATTAACTCTTCATTTTGTGACGGGTGTGTCAATGTCACCAAATACCTAGTAAGAGTCATAATGGTGTAATTTGCCGTGCCCACAAACTAAAATAAAAAAGATGAGTCAGTAAGTTGTCAGTATATACATAGTCATTGCACACCTCTTAAGAAAAGGCCAACTTAGGAAGAACTTGTAACACCAGTTTGAGCGTGCTATTGGCGCCTTAATTAGCCACAATTTTTATTTTTATTTTTTCACCATGCATGTATATAGGACATGTTTTTATTATTCTTATTCCTCTGCTTTTTAAATTAGATAAAACACTGCCTAAATCATTTACATTCTTTAACAAAATTTGACCATATTCAAGGTTTTCTAAGTTTTCAGATATAATACTTATCTACCAAACATCCAGTGGTTTCTATTTACACCGTCAATGTGCCTGACAATGAATATAACTCAAAACTAGTTAATCGTTGCAGAAAATTGCAGTTTTTACATTGTTTCTTGCTCTTACAAAAGAGGATGGCTGTTGAAAAAACATGGCGTTCTCAAGCTTTGTTGTTGGAAAATCAAACTCAGCGGCTAAATGATACGGTCAAATTGAATGTTTAGATACCAAACATAAAATGGTTACTGTTTGGAAGCCAAAACACTACTCACTACTGAATTACCAAAGCCACTTCCAGACAATTAAATTAGATAATAACTGAATTCTATGGTCTCACCTTTACTATGTAAAGGGCCTTGAAATCGATTTGGCCCTTTACAAATAAAATGTAATTAAATTTAATTGATTTAAACTTAAACTTTAAACTTAAAAAGATATTTATTATATGTGATAACATGCATCATCCAAGTTTCAAGTCTTTGTAAATCGATATTGTTATATGCTTTTCTAATGAATCTTAATAGTCAGTAGTAGCATTAGGATAATACATGAAGACCAGAAGGTCATTTTCTGCTCCTTGAAGAAAATGTAGTGATTAAAGAATTATAAATGTGGATAAGTATAAAATGACTAAAACTCAGTTTGATTTAAAGTTGATCTGCTCTGATAAGAACCACAAACAAGAAAGAGAGAGATGTCCCAAAAAGAAAATACTGACATAATTATCACGCATTCACATCAGAAATTTAACTACACTTAAAACATACTGAGGGTGTGATTTGTAACATGCAGCTACATTTGTGACAGAGGCTGTGCCGATGTATGCAAAGCTCACTCACTTTATCACACCCATGATGTACTTTATTTGATGCCACTGTGGTGGAGCAATGTGACAAAATATTGCTTTGATTTGCAAATCTCAATCTCCAGAAAAAAAGGTGACATTTGAGCAAACCATTTCCTTTTACTGGTCTGTCATTCAGATCACAGAGGAGAGGCAACAGTTTAATGAGATTTAAATCCAAATAACCCCAGTGCTGGGTAGAAATGCTCTAATCCTATCCCCTAATCACAACCAGAGAACACTTCCCACTTCTCTTTCAGAGGTCAAACGGGAATTCAAATGATTTGATGTAGAACCTGAGAAGCAAGTAGATAAAAAACATCACTGATCAATGAAATACCAAGATCATTTTAAAAATTAGAAAAAACTACATCTTCAGGGTAATGACTTTTTCTATGGGTGACAAATGCTATTCCCCAATCTCCTACATAGAATTACCATTCGTCAGCTTAAATGCTGAACATCAGCTGGCTTGAGTCTGCAGGGGGAAAAAGCATGTGTCATTAAAATACCCAGACAAGTGGAAAAAATGTGGTCATGTTTAAGTGAAAGAAACCTATTTAACTATTCTTTCTCAGAGCTGCTCTGGTGCAGAACACCTAACCTGAGTTTCTCAAACAGAACAGCCAGTAGTACAGGGCTGTGGCTAAATTGGTGAACTTTCTGCAAAAAGTGTGGAACTGCAGGAATACAAGGCAGAGTGTTGCTGAAAATAAAAATGGAATAATGAGCATGCCTGTTCAGCAACAACTATCTCTTGACAAGTCACTTCCTTATAGTTGTGCATTGGTATGTACTTGCGGCGTGTTTTATGGCCTACTGCTTCTAATCAGTGCAGTCCATATCAGTTTTCACAGTGGGCAAGCATGACTCAGGGTAAGAGCTGGCCTGAGTCCTCAAACATATTTTCCAGACTCACAAATGCAACTTTGTCCACAGCCTGGACAGTAACATGATAATGGACAAGCTGCTGCATCATGTGGGCCTATTGATTGAATGGTACATAACTGCAGAATGCTTATCTTAAAATGCAGCGTGGGCCTGCAGTACATATTGCAATACACGTGGGCATAGCTTTCTCCACATCATGAACCTAATCTTTGCTGTTTTATGTGCCCAGTCTTGCTATGTACACGCTGTAATCAGAAAACAAAAAAGAAATATGGAATAATATCAGCTCTTGACTCGAGGTTATCTTGTCTTGACACACAGGCTGCCACCTTCTCAACATCATTTATTTACTTTGCATAAAGATCACATCATGTCTCTGCTTAAAGAATTCACAGCCACCTAGCTAGTCTTTAGAAGGCTGTGCAGCTGTGCGCAAGGAGGCCGTCCATTAAGAGTTAATGGATTCACTTTCACAAAAGGACCTTAAAGCCACAGTTCTCTGCGCTGTGTCTCAGTGGTAAAAATAGAAACAGGGCAGAATGGATGGATGCTATTTACAGTCCTCCAAATATCTGTCACAGAGACCTATAGTTTATAAACCTATTTTTCCCTAAATATGAGAAAATAATGGCATGAATTTCCCCTTCTTCCCAGAAACTGTGATTACATCTCCATCACTTATAATTATTATTCTCCTGCCATCCCTCCCTGAACTCTGTATTATCCCAGGATATCTAGGGTAAGAAGGCATGCACCGATTACCCTTAATCTGAACTGTGAGAGAGAGAAGTGAAATAGCTTTTGGGTCTACGTGATGTGAAACAGTAACTGCAGCTTATTACAGCTGTGGTCAAATCTATATTAAATGCCAGGTCTGTATTAGAAATTAAATGCATCTGTATATATGCTCTGGATTTAGAATCTCTACATAAAGCACTGTCAGATTTAGTGAATGGATGGCGCCAGTCTGTCTCCATCTGAACACTGGTGGTATGTATGTGCCTGTGTATGCCTGGGTGTTTCTGCGGTGCGATCTGGGCCTCAGTGAACAGGCACTAACGCTGGGCAAAGACCACAGGAAGTGTTTGGAATGCCTTTGCTTGACTTCATCAAACAATAGAGGGCATTATTGGGTATTTGATTGTCCAGAATAGATAGTAAGATCAGAGAATGCCTTACAGTGTGCGCACACACACACTTCAAGATCCTCAGAGAAATTAATAAAGAAGACAGAGAGGCATTCTTCAGATAATACTTTGTTATATAACTGCTATAGTATTTTAGATTTCTAAGTCTCCTCACAAACTGAAGCCGTAGGCTGCCTCTGTGATTTCCTGTTAAAGGATGTGCATTCCTTTCTGCATATTCTGTGTAACATGTTGCCTATTACAAAATAGTGTAGTTATTAGTTACATTTAAATTATTTAGACCCAAAAATATAAGAATTCTACATTTTCATATACTTGCAAATATTGAATCCTAAGAAGGTTTGACAGTGGTGGAGTAAGGTTTTTCATAACCTTGTCATCCTGCCATCAAAATATTCTCGCATAGTGGGTGTCCAATTATCCTCTAGCAAAGACGAGGTGGACATTAAGCATTAAAATTGTGGGCAAGGCTGGGTAATTCTCTGCTTTATTTTACTCTGAAGAGGGATTAGATCCTGTCAGTGACAGTGATATGTCAACATAAGGCCTTGACATGTGGGTGCAGCAGCTTCTTAAAAGAACAAAAACTGAAATAGATTTTTTAATTTACATACTAAACACATGGCTGCTCGAGGAACCCATTGATGTTGATCTTTTAGAATTTGGAAAATTATATAAGAATATCTGCTGATTTGTGTGCACATCTGGGTGAATGTGATTCAACAGAGTTTCAAACCAGGAGACAGCCTGGCACACCCAACAGCATGTTGCTGCTGTGTATTTAAACCAAATTATATTCTGTTTTACTATCATTAATGACTTTAAAATGGTCAGCTTTTGAAATTGATAATGAATGCCACAAAAGAAGAAACATCTGGTGCTCAAACACACTAAATGAGGATCCAATAAGAAAATGAGGAACAATTGTGTATGCAGTTTTGCTCTAACTGAACAGGGAACCAGTTGGGCAAGAGAGAAAAATCCACTTGAGATTGCATTACAGGAAATGTGGCATAATAGTGAAGTAGTAGCTAAATCAAACACGGATGACACATGAGCACTTGGTAATGACAGTATTTAAAACACTGTGTGTGAGTCTTTATCCTGTGTTTGGTGTTCACTAAATACATGATCTGTATCCAGAGCAGGTTAGGCACATTGTACTACCCAACCCCCCTTCCACTAAACAAACTGCACACTGACAGCCTCAAGTGACCCGAGGGCTACTACTGTATGTAGCTTACACATTCAGATCTAATCCCATGAAGGTACCAGTGTCGACTTAAAACTAAACCTGACAACATATTGTCCAAAAGTGACGGCTGATCCTGGCACGTCTACTAGCAGGTTGTGGCTACTCAGCTCGCAATTAATAAAACACACGTCAGATTTCTCTATTTTCTGGAGTGTAGGTTAAAGGCTGCCCGGTGTGGTCACTGATTGAATCTGACTCCGGCCTTGTTGTCGAGTTTGTATCTGAAACTACAATATACAGCAGAGGCTTTATCGAGTCCTCCTCACAATCCTCTCTGGGAACATGTCGCCCGGCGGTCCTCGCACAAGTCAAGTCACTTTCCCCCATCAACGCGCTGTTTACAATCACGTCGTGGGTCACATCTGCTGTCAGTCTCTTACCGTTTTGAGCCGAGGCGAAAGGCACCGCCAAGTTCCCCAAAAGGACCATCGCCAGCATCGCTGCGTTAGGATGCATCGTCGGGGCTCGATGAGAGTACCAGGGTCTCGGTCGGAAGGATGTGGGATGAGAGCTCGTGTGTATTGATCACCAGATCTAGAGAGCTGGGCCCAGCATAGCACCGGGTTCTTAAAGGATGATGATGGGAAAAAAAGAAAAGAAAAAATAATGATGATCGTAGAGACGTCTCCCTGATTCAAAGACCTTCAGATGACAGCTGCAGGTGAACGGTCCGGGGACGAGGCCAGCGGCTCAGGGATGCCGAAGATGTGCAGCCATAGGCGGCAGAGAAGCCCTCGTCGGATTGCGGAGGAGAGGTCTCTGGATGTCAGGGAGGTTGTCCACACTGTAGTTGTGAAGATTTCAGAGATGCGCAGACCGATGCGCGTTTGCGCTGTCACGGTCACGGTTTGGTGATTAAAATGAAAGTGGCGCACAAAATGATTCCCGACGGGAAGTGATGTAGCCGCAATAAGAGTCTGTTATCAGCACAGGTCTATTTTTAATACCACAGAAAAAAAGGAACAGATGCGGGTAGGACACTAACAACCTGCGCGTGCCCTATGCGCTCATGACCGTGGATAGACACACGTACACTGACAGACATGCACACACATAAAACACCTATATGTGCAATGAATGTTGTTTTGTGGCACCCCCAGCCTTCGTTTCCTTGACATCAGATAAGCTTCCATTTGCAATCTTTGTGAGGACAGGTGCATATCTTCTTGTGCCGTTTGAAATAAGGTGTTCCTCACACTAATAACCTACGGGATGTCCTTACTCTTGCAATAGTGATGCAATGAATTGTCAAATGTGTCACAAACTACATGCAGAGTAAGTGATTCATATTTTACGAGCTGCATTTAAAAAAACAACAAAATAAACTTGCAAGTGGTTGTGCAGATGGAGTGAAAGCACTGCAGCAGTTTTCACCCCTCACATCCTGTAACGCCCCCTCCCCACCAAGCTTTTTTCACAGCCCCTAAATACTCGCTCTTGTCAGATTTTGTGAGGAGATTATGGTGATGCTCTTGAGCTCACTGAGGTCATTTATAAATTATGTCATCACATCAGTGGCCTGGATGTGCTCAGGCTGTATGCACCATATCCCCTTGAAAGATCAACATGGCCTCCTGTAATCCTCTCTGTGCTTAATCTGCGCTGCTGCATGGGCGACCTCATGTGGCCAGTTGAGGTAAACTAAAAAAAGAGTCGCTATGCATTTCACTTTTTAAACTTTTCCATTTATCTGCATTAATGGACAATCAGGGCAAAAAACACCTGAGCTCAGACTGTGATAATGTTATAGCCAGGTGTGTGGGAGTATGTGTTAGTTTGAGACTTTTCTATCATTTAATATATTTTTATATGTAGCAAATACCACAACTTTTTCGTTGAAGAGCAATTTCATGCCCATACTGTAATACTTTGATGTGAAAGCTCACCCTTTGTTACATGCCTACACCTACTTGCATGTGTTTTCTCCTGGACTGTTGCAGTCTGTGCTCAACTGCAGAACAAACTTCCCTCCACTTTACAGCCCTCCTTCCAGTTTGTCCCTGGGAGACTACATTTCAAATGTAACCCCACCTGAAACCTTGAACAGACCAATCAGCTTGAGAAATGTCAGAGCAGACGGCACACCCTCCTTTGTTCCAAACCAATCAGAGTGGAAGTGTGGCGTTTTGCCCGAGGGGAAAACTTACCCCTGGATGCATTAATTACGCATCACTTAGCTGTTGCCAATGTGTTCACAACGGTGGACCCTCTTTTGGGCTTTTTACAACGATTGCTTTCATTTTTCGGTCAATCTAGTATGGAAAGTAGACAACAATGGCTTACCAGGCTGAAAAATGAACTTAGCAACAGTCCTCTGGTATCAAATGTGGCTTTTGGCTTTATCCTCATGGGACTAGAGAAGCTGGTGGAGCTGGAGTTTGAGTGTCCTTGCAATCCTACATGGAACGGAGTGTTTTCATCAGCATTCTTCATCATTCCTGCTGTCATGGCCTTCACGTTGATGCTGATCATTCAAGGATGCAGATGTGATACGTGGTGCAGGAAAACTGTTTCCCTCTCCAGTTTCGTTCCTGCTATCGTGTGGCTGATTTTGTTGTTCCTCGATGGTCAATACTTTGCTTGTGCTATGACAGACTGGGAGGGTAGATTTGTACTAGTTGACAAGGCAGCTCCGCAGAAGTGGTGTGAGCCAACAAGTGAGGGAGATGTCACCCCACAAGAACTAATGCTCCGCTCGCAGCAACTGTTTGTTTTTTCTCAGGTGAGTGGATTGTTTTCTAATTTACAGACGATTATGTAGAATAAGTGGAGTAAAACACACTCCTCTCTTAGAGTAGGAACTGTAGAGAATATATTCATAATGTTAAGCTATCACCTTTTGTAAAATATTTATATAGCTCTGCTAATTCAGTGTGTTAGCAAGAATTACAACTTATCTCTTGATAACTACTAAACAAAGTGTTGCTTCACTCTTTTATACCCCAGGTTATAGGCATAATCCTCCTCATTTTCATCTGTGTGGGTCTCGTAGTGTATGTAATCAGAGAAAGCTGCCAACAAGAGGTGGAAATGCAGGATTCAGATGTAGCTGAGCTCACTGTGCTCAGGATGAGCTCTCTACGGACAAGGACATCATGAGAGGACTTACACCGCCCACATCACCTGCCCTGCTGGCATGGACACTTACCTGAACAGACTTTACAATGACTTCTCACAATAATTGTTAATACGTGCAGTATTTTTCCCCTATCAAACTTTCACTGATGATCAATCACGCTGCTGTATGAAACCATATGATTATGGATATTACTGAAAACAGTGATTCTGTTTTTTCTTTGTATTATCAGCTGATATGTAACCAGAGCTGTGCTTGTGCTCACAAGTTATTGGTTTTACCTGTCTGTACAGTAATATTGGCACTTTTTTTGCTAAGTAGATCAAAAAATGTATTCCACTTTCATGTCCAAGTCTTATGAAGCTACAAAGCAAGTACTTGTAAGGTTAGCTTAGCTTAGTGTAAAGACTGGAAATGGAAGGAATCATCCAGCCTGGCTGTTTCCAAAGGTAACTACACCTTCCAACACCTCAAAAAGGCTTTGATTCATCCCCTTTGTTGGATTTATACAAAACCAGAGCGTAAATGTGATAATTCTCCTCAAGGGTGGTTATGTGCTAGACAGTTCCTTGACTGGAATCCTTTGCAGCCTATCCCTAACCTATCCCAAAATTACTTGCACGCCTGTGAGAATTCACCATGGAATCATTTTAAAAAAAGCTAATATGACAGCCTCTACAAATATAACAGTGGATAGGAAACCCACTGCAAAGGTATGGCCATTAAAAACTGTTAAGGCCTCAGGATGCAACCTCCGAATCAGAGCAGCTGTTGTCCAGCATATAACCACCTACAGACAGCTCTTTACACACCTTTATGTTAAACTAAGATCAATGACTGCTGATTCCAGCTTCATAGTTCATATGCAGGCATGAGAATGGTCTTAATCTTCTCGTTTAATTCATTACAAGAAAGAGAATAAGCACATGACCCAAAATATGTAACTATCTCTTTAAAGGGATATTTCATTTTGTTAAATTGACAGTTTGCTGTCTTACTTTCAAGTTTAAATCTTGAAAATATTGTTTTCAATTTCTGAGCTTGGAAGTTTTTTTGTGCCTTTTGTATTAGCTATATAGAGTCAAGTGGAGTCCAACAGGCAGCTAATATCTATCTGACTACTGTTAGTTGACTCTTGTTTTCAAGTGCCAAAATGAAAATGTTCTAACAAGGTGAAATCTCACTTAAAATATTTCTGTTTTTTCTTGATGTTTTCTCAAGAATGTAGGGTCAGACCTTCATTATGTCTTATCCTACAACACTTAATGATTAAAACTGATTTTGCTGATGATTTACCTGTATGACAGCTAGAGATGTAAAGCCATGTGTATGCTGTTTTCTATCATGGCTGCAACCAGCCAAAAGTAGGAAGTAGACACAAATCTAAAACAATGTATTTTTATTGTTTTGTAATAAAAGAATTTATTTATTTAAGTATAACCCTCAGGGATTTTGTGCAGTCATTTCATGATAGTATAATCTTCACAAACCTGCAATCTGGGTATTTGAGTTTGTCTTTAAGTGAGATGAACTCAGTTTACTATAACATCTCTCTTCAAATACCTTTAACATTAGACAGAACATAATAATTAGAATTTTGCTGTTTTGACATTCACAGAAAACCTTGGCAACATTGCAAATATCGTTTCTACCTTTAATGGATATACGGTACATGCTACAAATCCAATACCTTAACACAGCTGAAAATAAAAAGACTGTTTGTACAGTAGATTTGCATGTAAATACCCCCTTTGTTTCTGAGGACATCCTCTGTACACCGATTGGTTGAATGGATTTTTTGTTGTCTGATTCTCTACAGCTCTCTCAAAGTTATTACTTGCTTTAGTAGCTTATTTCTTGACTTCTTAGTATTTACAACACAGTTAAACCCATTAAGTGTAGAAATTGGGGCAGGCCCTGTATGTTCATCCTGTGGCAGGGCTTATTCAAGACTTCTTGTATGGCCCTGAGGAAGTTGTTGTCTTTATCCCCTTCGCTCCTCACACTTTTAGAACAGGGCATCATAGTCATATGTGAACAAATTTGCACACACAACTGGAACCCATCAAACTCTTAGACTACTTTTTATAATATCATGAGAAATTAACTTTTGCATATCCTCGACAGTGTTCTTGACCAGAGTCCATATGATTTTGGGAGGTAATTAAGCTAATTAAGCCCCAGAGATATATCCACATCCAAGTATTAAGGATGGCTGGAAGGGTTATGTGAAAGGGAGCACAACGGCAGCTCACTTAAGACAAAGTTACTGTCCAAGGCTCTATGTCCAAAATATTCACCGACAACACAAGTGACAAAGAACTGACCCTTGTCAGTTTTTCAAAACTCTAGTACAAAGTTTTCTCTAAGACATTGTTAAGCTAGTTGTTCCCTAATTGTGCAAAGGTAAGGATAACTGCATTTTTTTCACCTGTATGTATTTGATATACCCAAAACCTTGTTTACTCACTTCACTCTGTGCTTTTCAGGCTTGAAAATCAAGATATTTCTTGTTATAAGGGCAACCTAAATTCAGAATTTAGATTCAGGAGAAATAAGTAAACAAGTAAAACTAATTTATTTTAAGTAGCGCACGTATCTTGTTGAATAATTCAAAGAATCACCTGAAGCATTATTATTATTATTAGTGATAGTAATATTTATAATGCTTCCAGATTCTTCACATTGAAATTTATGTAATTGTATGTGTTGCATTATAAAAAGATTGGGCTATCAAGATACAGTTCATAATACAAAATAATACAGAAACACATATTGATGCTTATATAATGCAGTGTTATGCTCATATAAGTGCCCATTATAACCCTGGCATGTCACTTTGATCTTTGTGTATGAAGTTTGATGTTTAAATCCATCCGAGCCTATACTTAGCTTGGATAATGTAAGAATATGAGTCCTCAATATTGTGCAACACCGGAGAAAGAATGTAACCATTTAAAAATGTTAATCTAACTGTTATGTGCCACAGTGAGTGTAAATTCACTAAAAGGATTTACTCTTGCAGAGGTACATTCCTTTAAGAGGACAAGCAGTTTCTGGAAGTACAAAACAGAACAGTAAGCAGAAACAAGGTTTTATTTTGTTCCAGCTAAAGCAGCAATGCCACTGTATAGTATGTTCTTCCTACCAAAGGCTAAAGTTCTGTTTGTGTGGACTCTGAACTGAGGTTACAGATATCAAGGGCTTACATATTCAAATTGAATGTGCATGTGAAAGCATGAATATAAATTAATAAGGCACTTGCCAATCTGTAATAAAAAAATGCATTTTTGTTTGTATACACATGTGAAATAACAATATTGTAAGAATATAGTGAGGTGACTATATTCAACCAACAACATGCAGGATGTGTTCTTCCTTGTGAATAAAATAATGATAAAGCACTGAACGATCTAGATTTGTCGCTCTTTTTTAACTAGATTCAAATCAACCCTTTGAGTCTTTTGTTCTCAGACAGAGTTAAAAGCCTAAACACCTTATTAAGGCGACAAAAGTGAATCATCAGCACAAGTCAAAGTATGAGTAGCATGATATTTACAGTGTGGAAGGAACACCAGGGTAGTCTGAAGGACATAAACTGCTGACTGGTAATGTTCTCTCTGCCTCGTTTACAGGCAAAAATAAATTAAAAATTGAATCAGACAGTCAAAACTCATTTTTTTAATTTTTCAACAGACTATAAACAATGTGATGAAATGTACAGTCAAGTCAAAGTAAAATCCAAAATGAAACACCTACTCTTTCATGGTTCAACTGATCATCCAAACTGACTGTAACAGCTGATAAATCCCTCCCTGTTAGTCAGATTTGAGCTTTCTTTTGATGCACAATCTGAAGCACGACCATACTAACCAAGCAAATAATAACAAAACAACTAGTGCAACTGTCATCAAGAACAATATGACATCTACAGAGTGGTAGGAGTACCAAGGCAGTCTGCAGGCCTCAGTTCTCAGGTGAGCTGCACCTTTGTGTCTCATGACGAACTCTATCCAGTAGAGGGCACTGTCCATTGGCTTCATTGGCTGATCTCTGTGCAGCCTGGAGAGTCTCTGCATGTTCAGTCTGTAGGAGGGCTCAGTCAAGATTTCCTGTATTGCTTCTAGGAAGTTGTTGTCTTTGTCCACTGTGGATAAAGTAAGAATCTTAGCCCCTCCTCTCTCTTTCAGACGGAGCAGGTTGTCGTACTGGTCAAAGTACACAGGTAGACCCACAACTGGGACTCCGTGATAAATAGCCTCTTGAATTCCATTTGTTCCCCCGTGAGCCACAAATAATTTCATCTTTGGATGTCCCAGGAGGTCATTCTGTGGCATCCAGTCGACTAGTAAAGTGTTGTTGCCCAGAGTGGCCGGTCTGTCGCCTTTATGCTTCCAGATGACTTTCTGAGGTAATTTAGCAAAAGCTGCAGCAATCTTGTTGGTCATGTCAGCAGGAAGTTCACTCACAAACGTCCCCAAAGACATGATGATGACTCCATGCTCCCCAGAGCTCTGGACAAACACCTCCAAGTGTTCAGGAAGTGGTTCAGCAGGTTTGCACTGAAACCCTCCTATATAAACAACATTAGGCATAGTTGGTCGAGGAAAGTCAAACACAAAGTTGGTTCTCATCAACCAAATGTCTGCATTAAGCACCAACTGCTTAAATTCATTATCAAGCCCAAGATATTTGTCACATATCTTCTGGTATGGCTTAGCCATCAAGTGGTATTGTGTTTTAATGACAAGATATAACATCATGTTTTTAACTCTCTGAAAAAAGTTCATTTTATCAGTATTGCCAGATCCTGTAACAGGAACATGGGATACAGGTGATGGAGCAAAAGCAAGATGACCCTCTCCAGCTACTAGCCAGCGCACATTAAAAACAAGAGGAAGGTTCAAATATTTGGCCAAAATGACTCCACCGCCCCACCAGGGGTCAGTGAGTACCATGTCAAACTTGCTGTCCTTGATGTTTCTTATCAACTCTCGGTCATCTAACAGTGTTGTTACAAATTTACCAACACGTCTGTGGACTTCAGCTATGCTTTCCAATAATCCTACATTAATACGGAGAAAACTTATCAAAGGATGTGCATTCCGCTTATATTCAATGACCTTTGATATGATATTTGTGACAAACTCCTGATCTATGACCCTCTCCACTTGGACTGTGACAGTGTTGTAAAAAGAGCTGTTGTCCGGGATGTACCAGCCTTTGCTGTGACGCAGAACAGTAATATTGTGTCCTCTTGAGTGCAGAGCTTGTAGTAGAATTTTCATGTTTATCCAGTGGCTGCCATCGCTGGGAAACACCAAGATGTTTCCAGCTTGACAGACTCCAGGAATGAGGATGAGCAGGAGCAAAGCACTGCAGCCAGCGATCAGCCTCATCTTAAAAGAAAACAATGTGAATTTTGTTAACCAAGGTTAAAAAGATATCATTGCAAAACAAAATAAAGTCTGACTATTTCAGTTTGTTAACACAAATACTTATATTAGAGTTGCAAGTCATCCATGACCCATCGATACTGTCTATTATCATCTATCCCATCCATTATCTATTCCGTTTGACTTAAGGGCCACAGGGGGTGCTGGAGCCAATCCCAGCTGATGTTGGGTGACAGGCGGGCTAACAGGGCCAACATATAGAGACAAACAACAATCACCTTGTGGTCAATTGATAGTCTCTAATCAACCTTATCCCCAATGTGCTTGTCTTTGGACCGTGGGAGGAAGTCGGAGCACCTGGACAAAACCCACACATGCAAACTCATCACAGAAAAATTCCTGTTGAGGACCTTCTTGCTGTGAGGCAACAGTGCTAACCAGTGCACCTCAGTGCTGCACTGTTATTTCTCACTTGTATTAATTATTTTCAAATCAAACCAAGTTTATGTATCAGGCACATTTAAAAACAAAGGGGGGTTGACCAAAGTGCTGTACAATATTAAGAGCCAATAAAATAACAGTAGAATGAGAGAAGATAAAAACAAAGACTTTATACATATAGACTTTATACAATTGACTAACCGGCCTTAAAACAAGTAAGTATGTAAATCAGTTAAATAGACTTAGTCAAGGGCAGTTACAAGCCTGAGGGAACAGGTGCGTCTTCAGTCCAGAGTGAACCTTTAATTGAAAGCGATAAACTGTTCCAACGCTTTGGGGTGGCCACAGCGAAGGCAAAATCACCCATACCCAGATGTACTGGGGGCGGCAGGGCATGTAATGCTTTATTTACTTGTCAATGATGAAGACAAAATGTTGAATTATAGTGACATCATAATAAAAATTCAGTTATTTGTAAACAAGCTGTAAACATGTTGAAATGACATCTAGTCAAGGTACATTCACAGACAAATAAAGTCAAATAATAAGAAGATTTGGTTTTAGAATTGTAATTTTAGCTGCTCAAACATTCGTAAGGGTACTTACTGTGGTCTATGTTGTTGGTGAACTCCACACTGGAAGAATAACTGTTTGTCTGTGCAGGGGAAACCAGTCTGGATGTATCCGCCCACAACCCACAGGGGAAGAGTTTAACAGCATCTTAGCCTGCACCTTAACCCAGAGCCCATTCAGGTCTTCTCATTTAATCACCTCAGACAATTGTTCAGATCTTTAGCTAAAAAATGCTGAAATGCAGAAAATGTGATTTTGGACAATGTGGTGATTCTTCAGTTTAATACTAAGCTATATCCTCACTTGCTATGAAATAATGCTGAAATACATTTCAAGCAGGTTTATAATGAATAAGAGACAAATTAAAGATCTTAAAAAATGAATCAAAAATGATATTAAAGTTAGATTTTCCTTTGTATTTGAAAATCTAAATCAAAACTAAATTCATGAATTCTTACTTTTCTGTTGATTTTTTATCACATGCTGAATTTCTTCCATTATAACATCTCTAGGTCCCACAAAATGCTGTCGCCATGGAAGCACCCATACACACACACACACAGAGTCTGTGTAGAACATAATGCAGCATCCCCTGTAGCTGTTGACATCAGGTAACATACTGGAAACATGTTATGAAATGAAAATGTAAAGCAGAATCTCAGTGGCAGATCTGCCCTTGTCATTTCTCACTGCTGCTTAGGAGATGCATGGAGGGGGGGTGGCTATACTTGTCTGTGATAAGTGAGTACAAGGATGCTTGGAAAAGGGGAGGGAAAGGCAGTGGTGGTATAGTAGGGGAAAATGGGGCGGGCTCTCTGAAGGAAGAGGAGGAGGAGGAAGAGGATGTGTTGCCTGTGCACAACTGGAGGCAGCAGGGACTGAAGCAGCATCTGTATGAGGCGAGAGAAAGAAACTGCACAGAATGGAGGAGAGCTAGAGCAGCACTGTCGCTGTCATCAGGACACCTACCACCTCACCGCTACCACTGGCGCTCTGGACTGCATGTTAATGGGAGAGACTCAGAGCAGGTATATTTACATCATTTGCATTAGTATTATTATGTGAAACGTGTATTACCTTGGAGATGGGGTAGATTATCAAGGTGAGCATGCAGGATGCTATTCTGTATATTAAAGGTGTGTGATTTAGGCAATTTGTTATTTAGATTAGATTGTTTTCTTTATATAGCTTATTCACTGAGATCCATAACTGTGATTGAATCTAGATTTTCCAAAGAACAGCAGGGGTGTTCGACTTGAGATTTAAACCCTTATCTTTAGGCATGCTTGATTACTCAGTGTACACAAAAGCTGCTGCCGTATTTACCATTTTATTTTCCAGTTCTGTGATGCCCGAGGGACCAGCAGAGTGGATCCGTTTCCTCCTCTGATATGATGCTGAGAGCAGGAGGGGCAGCCACCTTCCTCGCACTGCTGCTGCTGCTGCCGCTGTTGTGCTGCTGCCACCTCTGCCACTCACTGCGTAAGTTTCCCACGGACTGGGAACTGTCACAGTGGAACGTAATGGAATCAGTGTGACAGATGGGATAGTGGAAGATAAGTTGGATATGTATGTAACCAAGACACCAAGAGAGAAGACATAGAAATCTCCAGATGGTGGGTGAAGAGTGAAGGTAGCTTGCCAAGTTACTCAAACAAAATGCACTGATGTAAGAGTAATGACTTACCTGATGTTCAGTGCTTATTTTTCCTTATTTGGCAACCAATGGTTTCCAGCAATTTATCAAATTATAATTTGAATTGAAGTCAGAGGCATTATATGCCCTATGTGCATGCTACAGCTTGGTAATTGTCTGCTAGAATTGTCAAAGTTGACTTTTTATCCAGTTTTATGCCACTCTGTAAACTAAGTCCTTTGAAATTTTATATTTTAACCAGATGAATGAGTCATGACGATAGTCATCAGACGACTGGATCTTCAAATATTAGAAAACAAGCTGATAAACAAGAGCGGCAGCCCCTCCAAAATGTTCTGAGTGTTGGAGAAGCACAGATTTTTTTAATGGGACTACTTTATTCATTATTTTGACTGGATTTAATCTGGATTTGGAGAGGATGGATGTTTTTAACAATTAACCCTGAAGGAATCCTATCCAGAAAAGGCTCTGGGGGCAATGTTGGTGATAACTCCCATGATCCCATGATACTTCCTGAGGTCATAAAGCTCTTTTTTATTTTGCTGCTGTTTTTGAATGAGAGACTCTGAACAGCAGGTTATAACATATTGTCTATTAACCTCTAACCCCTTCGTATCTACAATTTCTCTGGAAAAAACCAGGAAACTCAATAACTGAAAGAGGGCACAGAATTTGGATATCATCCTTTTTTTTATAATGAAGCATCATTAATGCAGGAATCCAGGGAGTTAACAATTAACTAATACAGTGTTCAATCCATATTGGATTAGTGGTGATGCGATATTTATGACACTTTGGCTGACATAAGATGTCTTATATCCATATTTTCTGCCACTTCAAAAAAACGAGATAAATAATAAAAGATTCTTACATTCCCAGTCATATTTACGCCACAGATACTAACTATCTTTGAATCAAATTCAAACCATGCAAAAATACCAACATGTCTGCATAAAACATACAAGCAGAAACAACAAAATATACAATGTGTGCACACTGTAATCACAGTCAAGTGCTTAGCTGTTAGACGGCTGGTGGGCAGGTATGGAACAGCACCTATGGAGAGTTGTAAGTGCGGATACAGATATACTGTGTAAACCCGCTGGAGGGGAAAGAGAGAGGAGCTGCTGTTTCCATGACAGTGTGTATATATTAGTATGCATGAATGAATCCTGTATTTTTTGTCCTCTGCTTCATTTTATAGATTTCTATCTCTCTCCTCCTGCTAATTAATGTTTTTGCATATTTGGTCTTCTGCACCAAGCCAAAAGCAGCAAGCATTAATTAAAGTATCTTTCAACATATCTGGATATGTTACTGGTAAATATGAATTTGACTCAGCACTAGATGAAAACCTCAATTCCACAGGCTCTTTAAATGGGATTTTATTGTTACCTAAAAGCACATAAGTTGTATCTGTGTTTTAGTGTATTTGTGACCCTATGATTACATTGATCATACTCTAAAACAGATTCATGTACAATCCCACAGCTGAAGAGATGATGAGTTTGTTGATTATGAGGTCATTGATTGAGGGTGTTGCAGCCTTGTCCCTATTGATCCACACACACACAGACACACACACTTACGAGGGTGACACCATATATATATGCGGTCAGTGTTTTGGTAGATTTCCAGCCACATTCTTTCATCCATAAATTGGGTTTATAACTGAGTTGGTGGGTGATTTAAAGAGCAGTATGAAAGAAAATTTTGGGTAATTCATACATGTAATCGATACTTTCATATTGGTATTAGAGCTCTGCCTCAGCAAGACAATGCATCAGTTTTACACTCAACAAAATTTATATTTATCAGATACTTAGCAATTAATGACTATGTAGTTTTTCACATTGACTTGTCTCTAGTAGCTGCAACAACCAGTGTTGCTCTCCTCTCTGCTCTGTCAGGTTTGAGCACTGGGCTAACATAGAATTTCATAGCTTGAAATGTTTGCATCAAATGCATGAAACTTGTGTGTCCGTCTCTCGGACACTTACTCTTGGTTATTTTCCGTTACAATTTTTTACTTACAACATATTTCTACAGCCTCAAAAGCTCTTTACACATGAACAAACGATATCTCTGTGAAGAAAACTTTTTCACACAACATTTCTATAGTAGTAGATTCCTGTGATTACTGCCTCTGGGCATAGTATGAATACAAGACTGTGACACTGCAGAATACATGTAAAACGGGCTATAGTTCATAGGTGGCAATAAAATCATGTAAACAACACCAAACATTCTACACTCATGACTGCTACATTCAATATTATCTTTCTTTTTGATAGTGGCTCCTTTACAGGAAATTAACTTAAAATTAACAGAAGCTCTAACCCTGTTGTACTTTTTATTGAATGTGTGTTTGGTTAGATTTCTCTGTCTCTCGAAACTAAAGCTTTACCACAGAGGACTTATCCAGACACTCTACACATAAACACTGCAGTAAGGTCAAAGAGGTGAATGCATCACAGTTTGAGAACAATAACAGAAACGGAGCTGGAAATGTGGTAATTATCAGCCATGGAGTCTGAAGAGATTGAATATCTCGCAGCAGATATGAACTTGTAATTTCTTATCTGTTCTCCTGTTTTAGGGGTACCAAAGCTCTCGTCGTATGCAAAGGCAGAGGACAAGCTGTTTCGATACCTCTTTGGAAGCTACCAGAAATGGGTACGTCCGGTGGAATATCTAAACCAGACGATCTGTGTGAAGTTTGGACTGGCCATCTCCCAGCTAGTTGATGTGGTGAGGACACAAACGCAGAGACTGTTTATGTGTTACTGAGGTGTTAACTTCATGAAGGTCAAACCTAACAAGGCTGAAAGACAGAATGCTATTTCAATTATGGAAATTTCCATATTGGCCACCTACTAAAGTTGATAATTGTTTTTGTCATTTTAGGATGAGAAAAACCAGCTGATGACAACCAATGTGTGGATGAAACAGGTAAATATAAACAACTGATAAATCATTTAATTTTACCATTGGGAAACCTTCAGGTAAAGCTCTTAGGGCTGTACGGTGTTCCTTTAAGGCCACGGAAATGCTCGAAAACATCAGGCTTTTATAGCTTTTTTAGGCAACAGTCGGCCTCTTCCCTCCACCTTTTTAATCTGGCCGGGTGGCCTTTTGCTGACACCTCTCATCCATATGAATCCTTTAGGCTCTGCGCCCACGCACCTTCCTCCACAGGCCACCTCCTCTCCACTGTCAGCCTTATTCATGGTCTTGGCAGCACTGTCTGTCATGCATCTTATGAATTATCCCCCCCGGGCTAGGCTGGGCTGGGCTGTTCGGGTCAGTTGCTCCCTTTCACAGTGATGGATTGCATCAGGCAAAAAAAGAGGTGATTGCCACAGAAACAGAAAGTCAGATTTTCTCTCCCTCTTTTTGTTAAGGAAACAACTACTGAGCTTAAATTGTTTTCGTCTTCTCATAAACTTGCTTGAGTATTCTGTCTCACTGTACCTATCATGTTTATCATGTCTAACCCTAATCAGATACATTTTCTATTAGAGTTAGCCAAGCTAGCTGTTTCCCCCTGTGTCCAGTCTGTATATCAAGGTATAGTCACCTTCAGTTTTAGCATTCAAGGCTCAAGTTGTTTATTGTATACATGTAAAATCACATAAAAAAAAAAGGGAAGCTCCATACTAGCAAAAATGAAGTTGTTATGTAAGTCATAAGGGGGAGAACAATAAGAAGACTATATTTACAAAATAGATCTAAAATAATAAATGAGAACACAGTACAAAGACATGTGAAGGAAAAACATAATTCAGACATTACATTGTTGTCAGCCTTTTCCATCTAACTCTCAATTGAGATTCAAACTCGTTCATTTTTTGTGTGTGTGAAGGAGTGGACTGACATGAAACTTAGATGGAACCCTGATGACTATTTGGGCATCACAACTATCCGTGTCCCCTCTGACAGGCTGTGGCTGCCTGACGTGGTGCTGTACGATAAGTATGTACTATTACTTATGGAAAGAAATCATACGGATGTCACACATTTTATATAATACCTTCCAAATGAAACACTTGTAGAACAGCTCTGGTTCCAGAAGTCAATTTCCAAAATTATTTTCTCCATTGACATTTCTGAAAAAACCTAATAAAAGACTTTTCAAGCCTAAAACCACGTTGACCAGATTAATTGTGAGCATAAAACATTTGATTTGGAGAAAAAATACTTTGGAAAATGGAAAAGGGGAAAAGGTATAAAACGGTGCACAAGATTACTTTAAGTAGGAAGGAACTACGCATCCTATCTCTCCTTGCTGCTGATCCATTTCCAATGACTTCCAGTGCTTCTTCTTGAATAGTGAGTTTCACCCCTTTGGACTTTCTTTTCTTCATCTCTCAAAAACTGCAGCAGGTTAGAATGCAAAACCATAGTTGCTCTGTGGTAAATATAATTGTAACACTGAACAATCCCATCGTAGCTGACATCATTTTTGTGGTTGTGCTTAACATTTCCATGGTAACAGTTGGCAACAGCAGATGTTGTGGGAAGTGCTATCCTTAACACAAAATCAAGCAAATGAATGAGATTTTTATTTCTGGGATCACGCTGTTGAGCTCTATTGACAGGACCATACTAATAGACGTCATGTTTTCCTACAAGGAAACTAGACATTAAGCCAAAAAAATATAAAAAAATATAATTGCTGAATGCACGCATTGTAATTTTAAGTTGCTTTGGGTAAAGGCATCAACTACATGACACGTAATAATATGTAATGATAAGCTCATGGTTGGCAACAGCACTTGTCTTTATTTTTTTGTCTTTAACAGCTCAGATGGGCGTTTTGAGGGAACTGTCACCAAAGCTGTTGTTAAGTATGATGGAACGATAACATGGACGCCACCGGCCAATTACAAGTCAGCCTGCTCCATTGATGTCACCTTCTTCCCGTTTGACCTCCAGAACTGCTCCATGAAGTTCGGCTCCTGGACTTATGATGGCTCCCAGGCGAGTCTCTCCTCAAAGCATGTGTATATTACACTTAGCGTTAGTTAAGACCAGTTACTTACATGACATTGTCCTCATAATTTAACAGGTGGACATCATTCTGGAGGACTTCCACGTAGACAAGCAGGACTATTTTGACAACGGTGAATGGGAGATAGTAAAAGCCACAGGCAGCCGTGGTCTGAGGACAGATGGCAGCTCTTCCTACCCCACCATCACCTACTTCTTCATCATCCGCAGATTGCCTCTTTTTTACACCCTCTTTCTCATCATCCCCTGCATCGGCCTGTCCTTCCTCACCATCCTTGTCTTCTACCTGCCCTCCAACGGTGGCGAGAAGATCTCCCTCTGCACCTCAGTGCTGGTGTCGCTCACCGTCTTCCTACTGGTCATCGAAGAGATCATCCCGTCCTCCTCCAAGGCCATCCCTCTCATCGGGGAGTACCTGGTGTTCACCATGATCTTCGTCACGTTGTCCATCATCATCACAGTCTTTGCCATCAACATCCATCACCGCTCCTCCTCCACACATCACGGCATGGCACCCTGGGTGAGGAAGATTTTCCTGCATCGACTGCCTAAGCTGCTGTGCATGCGCAGTCATGTGGACCGTTACGCCACAGCCGGAGTGGCTGGGGTGGGAGGAGCCGTAGGTGTGGGTATGATGAAGGATTCAGCACCTAAACTCACCCCCCTACTCTACACGAGACGTCACCTGCAAGCAGCTTTAGATTCTATTCGCTACATAACCATGCATGTGGTTAAAGAAAATGAGGTCAGAGAGGTGAGTTTGTTGGATTTTGTGTAATTGTTCATCAGTGTTTAATTGTTTTATGGAAAAATAGTAATTTCTGGCCCTACACTGTCTGTTACTCATGTCTTCATGTATGTCTAGAGACTGACATTTGCTTTATCGATCTGGTACAGGTGGTACAGGACTGGAAGTTTGTAGCCCAGGTTCTGGATAGAATGTTTCTGTGGGCCTTCCTCCTAGTGTCCATCCTGGGCTCTGCTCTCCTCTTCATCCCAGTTATTTACAAATGGGCCAACATCATCGTTCCTAACCATGTTGGAAGTTTCCTCTAAGAACCGCATATGGGAGCACAGCGACCACAAATGGATTTAAAGCACATTAACAGCCTACTGTGGATCTCCTGTGAGAGACTGAGATTACTGGTGAGATTCAGGCTTGTATACACACTCAACTGTGCCAGAGGTCAAGCTGCAGATTTGAGGCCTCACCCGCAGCATACATCTCATAGAGACGTGTTTTAAAAGTTTCTTTTAAAGGTAAACACAAATAATTATGTATTGTAGGTTCATCCAGCCACACTCTCTCTCACACATCAATAGATTTCAGGAAATGTATTTTATGTCCTATACATGCTGGCATCACAGAGTGCAGATTATTTATTGTGGTTGGAAGAGGTTTATTGTGATGTATGTATTGATTCATTTCATTTCAAAACTATTGTATCCCTGGCGATTACAAGGCAGCTTGCAGCCGAGATCAATATATACACACATACACATAATAGAAATAGGTGAAGACATTCATTCTCTTTGGACATAATACTCTGTATCTATTGGGTTTGGAGAGATGGGGCATGATTCAAATAAAAGCGATGGTTTAATTTTGCTCTTCTGGAGGCCAACTCTAATTTCACAAATCACCACTATGCACCTGCTCCTCTTCTGAGTGGGAAACAGTGGGGACTCTCTTCTTTGGACATTAATTTCCCAGCCAGCTCTTCCTACCTCCATCTTAAGTGAGCAAAACAGATTTAAAAATTCCATATTTGTCTTGTTATTCGATTGATGTTGCATGCAGATGCATCCAGTCATTTGATTTAGAGACATGTTTGAAAGGACCTAAGGGCCACTTTACTGCTGTTCACATCTCCAGGAACCAGGGAGACTCTTTTGTTTCAGCAGCTGAGCAGCTCTCAGCCTGTGTAAGACCCTGCACTGCCTCTCAAGACAAAACAACAGCAACAAAGGGTGGGGACTGAATTGAAAAAGTCTGTTGGGTTCCACTTCCAGTTACTACAACACTAAACACAGAGTCTGTGAGTAAAAATGATGATCAAACACAAGGATAGACAACAACTGTACGGTATTTTAACTCCTACAATATAAATAATCAAAGGGACTTTGCATGGATCTTAAAATGATAGAGGGTCTCTATGCCAAAAAAGTAAAAGCTGTTATTCACATCTAGATAAATATATACATAATATGGTACTTAATTTATTCAAGTGTAATAGTTTCACTATGGAGGTCAGAGAACAGTAAAAGTTGGTTGGTGGAAAGATAATTTTCACCAATGTCTGGGATTTTTGTTCACACGCATAATTTCACCTACTATAAATAATGATAAATATGGTACAGAATTAGTTTCATTGTTCTAAAATTTGATGCAGCTACTTATTTGTGTTGTCTTACATAAATCATTTTTTGTGGATTTTTGTTTGTATGAAGCAACATCAGTGTAATAGCTCACTCTGCTCCAAGTATACAGTATGTTCATACAAAATCTAAATATTCTGATGGGGAAAAAATTGCTTTGATGAGGAATGTCAGACATGATTACATTTTATGTACAGGACTTTTAATTATTAACAATTTTACTATTAACAATATTTTTGTTGGCTATTATGAGACCATGTCTGCACAGACTTTGGGGATTACAATATGTATAGTACTGGGATTCATTCACAGTAAATTTGTCAAGACCCATTTAAAACTGTGAAAAACCTAATTGACTGAAAGTTAAAATTATAATAATAGGTGATAAATTAAAAATGAAAATAAGAGACGAATAAAAAACTAACTTATAATATATACTTTTCACTACACAGAATATTATGGGTCGAAAAAGTGCGGTGGCTGATTTAGGAGGATGTATACTGTATATGTATAAGATATATGTATGTATAAGAGGATAACAAATATATGTTAAGACTGATAAGTAATAAGTATATAGAAAGGTATAGTATACAGTATGACATTAATATAAAAATGCAAAAATTAGGATTGGAATATATTATAACAATCAAATATACAAGTAATGTGCAAAAGCACACGTTACACAATATAGTGCAGGTAATAGAGAGAAGTCGCTGAGCAAAGTTACAGTCTGTGCTACATAATTGTAACAAGTCTTTGCCCACAGCTTCAACAAAGATCACATTGTTCTTGATTCCTGTAGAAAGGCCCAAAGAAAAGATTAACGATAATCCACTCATGTAATCTATCCTGGAATTTGTTGTTACGCATTCTCTGCTACCACGGATATATTTCACATCCACATCGAAGGAATAAGCACATGCACGCTGTGAGCTACTTCATGTAAAGCAGGTATGTTTTAATCAATATAATTTAATACCAACTTAATTTTATACCATTGAATTCTCCTGAGTGTATCTACAGTGAGTGTATTTATTTTCCTCTCAGGTTGGAGATGCCGCCTGATGGTAACACTAAGACGCTCCTTCTCCTTTTATCTGTTGTCTTCCTGACATTGAGAATATGTCACGGGGGCAGGATCTTGATTGTTCCTTTGGAGGGAAGCCACTGGGTGAACATGGATTTCATGATCAGAGAGCTGCACTCTCGAGGACACTCCATCGAAGTGCTTCGGACCGATAAGAGCTGGTACATCAAGGACGACTCTCTGCACTACAACACAATAACAGTATCTGTCACTGAAGCCTTTAATCACGACTTCATTAACCCCATCCTGAAAAAGATCATCGACATAGAGAGAGGGGAGAGCTCTGTGTTAACCTTTGCGAGTTTGCAGGTTGAGATGTTTACTGCCATGTTTAACATGCATAGAATAATATGCCAAATGGCTACTGTTATGTTTAAAGATAAAGAATTGATGAATAGTTTGAAGGAGAGAAAATATGACCTGGTCCTCACTGATCCGGCCTGGGGTGCAGGTATAATGTTGGCTCAAGCTCTTCAGCTACCTCTTGTTTATAACGTCCGCTGGATTACAAGTGGAGAAGGACATTTGGCCATTGCACCTTCTCCCTTGTCTTACATCCCGATGACCGGCTCTGGCCTGTCAGACAAGATGAATTTCATACAGAGAGTAAAGAATCTAATTTTTTTTGCCATTTGGCAAATTCAGGATGGGTTTTTAATTAACCCTCAATATCAAACTGTTTGTGACGAGTTCTTTGGTCCAGAAGTCAGATACAGTGACTTACTGCAAGGAGCAGACCTGTGGCTCATGAGAGTGGACTTTGTGTTTGAGTTTCCTCGACCAACTATGCCTAATGTTGTTTATATAGGAGGGTTTCAGTGCAAACCTGCTGAACCACTTCCTGAACACTTGGAGGTGTTTGTCCAGAGCTCTGGGGAGCATGGAGTCATCATCATGTCTTTGGGGACGTTTGTGAGTGAACTTCCTGCTGACATGAGCAACAAGATTGCTGCAGCTTTTGCTAAATTACCTCAGAAAGTCATCTGGAAGCATAAAGGCGACAGACCGGCCACTCTGGGCAACAACACTTTACTAGTCGACTGGATGCCACAGAATGACCTCCTGGGACATCCAAAGATGAAATTATTTGTGGCTCACGGGGGAACAAATGGAATTCAAGAGGCTATTTATCACGGAGTCCCAGTTGTGGGTCTACCTGTGTTCTTTGACCAGTACGACAACCTGCTCCGTCTGAAAGAGAGAGGAGGGGCTAAGATTCTTACTTTAGCCACAGTGGACAAAGACAACAACTTCCTAGAAGCAATACAGGAAGTCTTGACTGAGCCCTCCTACAGGCTGAACATGCAGAGACTCTCCAGGCTGCACAGAGATCAGCCAATGAAGCCAATGGACAGTGCCCTCTACTGGATAGAGTTCGTCATGAGACACAAAGGTGCAGCTCACCTGAGAACTGAGTCCTACAGACTGCCTTGGTACTCCTACCACTCTGTAGATGTAGTTCTGTCTTTCCTGGCTGCTGTTGCAGTGATTACTCTTCTTCCTCTTGTATTTGTCAGATATGTACGCCTTGAGAAATGCAAAAAGAAGAAAAAGGACTGAAAATGTACCTTAGGCTGATTTCTGTCTGCTCTTTCTCCTAACAAAACATCAACTGACAGTTTAGAGTTATTGCATGTCACAAATGATTTGTAAAACTGTCAATTCATTGAATTTTTCTGCAAACAAAAATAAATTATTTTAGGTTTGACCTCACCCCTAAGATTCAGGTTAAGTGCTTCTCCCTGCTAAAACCAAGTTATCTACGTTGTCTAGCAAGATTGCAGGTGCTGTGGCTGAGGAGCACGGTGGTCTAGAGCCGCTGGTACAGGTTGGTGTCTCAGCCAGCGGTTCAAAGTGTGTGTGTTTGTGTGTGTGTAAGAGAGATGGCTGAGGGCAGGAGAGAATGGACGTCTCTGATTGATAAATGTTTTGGTCATTTAGAGGTTTAGTTTTAGCATAAATTGGAAAATAAGCACATGCAGCTTTCTAGATTCCATGTATGTTTCCATACCTTCATCTAATCTGTTTGACACATAGCCAACTATCACCTGTATAAAGTTGAAGGAGAAATATCTGTTCTGGGTTAAAGGTTCTGATATGAAACCCAGTCATATCCATGCTGCACCTCAACAAGAGGTGCCCTACCCTTAAAGTGTTGATTGCATTAAAGTAATACTGCACACTTTAATGCTGTTGTTCGAGATACATTTTTTTAAAGTTTTAGAATTACATTTATCATGAAATATATAAAAAAATCTGTACTAATGGGTTCAACAGGGCTCTTAACGCCACCCAGTATTTCAAATCAAGTTGGACCTTGCAGGGACAGTAGTGTCAACCTTTTGGGATGTCACTAGTTCATTTAATTTATATATATTTGAAAGGTTAACTCTCTCTTATCAAAGGCGAGAGGCCCCACACAAGTTGAATAGTATATTTAGATCTTTGGCTCCTTCTAGTGGTAGTTTCAGTAAAGACAATGTGGGAGACATGGTCCAGCAATACTGAGAGCGAGGAGGTGAAGCACCTCTGACTAATTTCTTGCCTGTTCCTCTAGATTTGTCGCTCGTCGGCTAAAAGAGTCATTGCACTCAGAGCAGCTGACAGAGCAACTGTCTTAACACTGAAAAGGTCACTCAACTCTTGGATTGAACTTTCGCGAGGAAACACCAGGTTAATAATTAAAGCAGGCAGGTATTGTACGTAACTAAAATTATTATACAAATCATATCACTTAATCTAAATAAACTGAATCAGTGTGAAACATTCAGACATTTGATACATGATCAAATGTATTTATTATTTATAGCCACATTCAGGTCTTCTTTTTTTCTAAGAAAGTCTGTGCTGCATAAAATATAATATAATATAAAAATCTTGTTTTGCAAGCCACCGATTTGTGTGATAACTGCTCACCTCTCATCTGCATGTCTATCTGACCTTTTACCAACAAAAACTACTGTTACGTCTTTACGGTACAACTTAAACACACTAACCCACAGTATCGTACAGTCTCTCTCCATCGTCCTCCCATTCGTCAGAGTAAGACATGTCATCAGCATCCACGCTGGCCTGATACCTGAAAAGGAAATCTTCACCAGTTGAGTAATTTCTTCTATTAACATATGTTAACTAATAAAAAAATCTGATTACTAATTTTACTTAACCTGTGCTGAAAAGTAACACTAAAGTAGTCATTTATATTAAAATCGTTAAGTTCTTACCCCTCTTCCTCCTCCATGCTGAAAGATTCTCCTGATAATTGAAAACATTAGAAGAATTGAATAAATATAGATGAATGTAATTCATAATATCAATATATAAATGTATGTATGTCATGCTAATAAACAATTAATTACAATAATTTTACAAAGCTCTGTTAAGACTTTCACAAAGAACTTTGACAATTAACACAGGATACCTTTCACTGGTGAAAATAATGAGAACCTGCCAGTTTCTAAAAGTGATGAATAGATGGTGGATGGATGATGGAGGGGAGATAGATGGTATAGTTGAAGGATGGATGGATCCCAAATGATTGTTAGGATTTGTTAAATCTTGGGAGATATTTTTGTTTCTTTAAAAAAAAAAAACAGCTAGATAATGTTTTCTTTTCGAGCCATTGTAAAATTATAGAAAAGGACATTTTTAGCATAGCTACCATGTTGTGTTCCCAGATATTGTCCATCTTTCTGCTGCTGCTCTTCCTCCAACATGTCTGCATTGACCTGCCGACTCCCCGTGCTGTAAAAAAAACACATGTCCCTGTGATCAAATATGTTTAAATATGTTTACTACAAACAGGGAGGCACACACATAGTCAAAGAAGTCAACTTCTATTTACTTTGAAAAATGTCTATACAACATACAAACCACAGCAGGGATGACAGTTCAGAACAAATCTTAAATTCATCGCAAAGCACTAAGCATGAAATCACTCACCATGATTTATACAAAAGTTTGCAGCCTGTTGAAAGGAAAAAAATAAATTTGAAAATATAACTTACATATATTCTGGGAATGTTCAAAGTCACAATGGTGTTGATGAGACAAGCCAGCTGCTATACAGAAGCTATACAGACTTAAATGTACATCTACATAAACTAGGACCAGGTGCATATGTTTTTTATTTGTCATTATAGTCTTACTTGGTGATTTCCTTCTAATCCTCTGACTTTGTTTCCTAGGGATGCACCACAGACAGAGCACCAGTAACAACAACGACAGAGATATCACTCCGCACAGGACAGTCAATTGCAGCAAGAAACTCCCTGGAAAATAATCATCATAAACATTACTATGGCACAAAATTACTTCATCATTATTGAAAAGAAAAAACTAATTCATATTAAAAAACAAATATTTTTTGTTTTTTGTTGCATTTTGTATCCATCAGGTGTTGACAGATTCACCTTTGACCTTGAGCAGCACTGTGTTATTTCCACGGAGGGTTTTTCCAGTTTTTTCTTGCTCTTGGATGCATTTGGACGGCAGCACCATGCAGCTGTAGTGACCCGAGTCCCTTGTGACGGCGTCCTTGATGATGAAAGTTGTCTCCATCCGTGCGACATCAAATGCTTGCACTTGTAGGATGCTCTCATTCTTCTTCAGGTAAGACTGGATGACCTGACAGTCATCGAGCGTTTGCAGGGCGTAAGAAACAGCACATCTGAATTCTATGTCTTCCCCCTCGCTGACAGTGGACACCCCGGCCACTGAAATGTCTGCAGGGAGGAAATTGGCTGCATGGCAGAGGGAGAAAATGAGTAGAGAGGAAGTAAAGCTGACATGTTGACTTCATGATGATGGAAATATTTACCTATAACCTGGATCTGGATGATGTTGTGTCCTTTCATTGCTACTTTAGAAGGAGGATAATCAGTTTTGGAAAAAACACAGCTGTAATTTCCACTGTTATTAAGACCAACTCTGTACACGGTGAAGGTGGAATCGTGTTGTTCTTGCTTCTGCTCCATTTTACTGATTCCGAGGCCGTCCTTCCACAGATACACATAAACGCTGGAGAGTTTCTTGCTGCCATATGTGCTACAGGTCATATGAAGGTTACCGTCCTTGTTTATGTTTTTCTGTTGAGTCATGACCTTCGCTGGAAAAATATCTGCAAAATCCATATAATCGGACAGAGACAAACATCATTTTGATAAATGATACAAAGCAAAATACTCATTAATGCATCAGATTTCACCTCATTAACGAATGCTCACCATGAGGCTTATCAGGGATTTGGCTTCTAACCAGCTTAACAAGTGTTCCTTGAAGGGAAAAAAAAAAAAAAAAAAAGAATTCCATTCCTTTAATTTGCATGCAAAATTTCACAGAATTATAAATACAAAGTCAAATAGGTAAATTTGCGAATACTCACACATAAGAATGATGATTTTATTCATGACTGTAAGTGAAGTGACACCCGTGACTGTCTCCCTCTGCACAGGTACCCATCAGGTTATTGTCTAAACCTACAGAAGCTGAAAGAGCACAGTGCAGAAACCATAATGAACCACATCCTGTGCATTATCTGGTGGCTTATGACGTCTGAAATGATTTTTCAAAAAAACTCACCAGATAGGTTCCCTAAAACAGTGAGGCATTTATTTTTAAATATATGACACTGAACACAAGCTTCTCTTTAACATCCTTTTTGAAGCTTTTGCAGGATGTAACCAGCAGAGTTTTTTGACCTTTAGAAACTTTTTATTTGAGGGTGTATATCACAGTTATCAGTGGGAGATCTCCACCTCTAGTTTTTGAGTGTGCAAAAATTAAATTCCTCAGCCAGGGGCTTTGTTATCAGATGTGACAGAGAGCATGTCTGTCTGGATTTACCTGCAATCACACAGCTTGCTACCTGCTTGGATGTTTAGCTGTTTGATAAGAGTCACACAGTGACGTACAGACAATCAGCGCCCCCAGCAGGGTGCTGGGTACATGGAGGCTGTGATACCCATCCCTAATGGAACAAAAATAGAATCACACCATAAATACATTTTTGAAGATGTGTGACATGTTGACCCCTTCCCCTAACAGCAACATAGTCATTAAATTAATAATTATCATAATGATAAATTACATTTATATTGCAACTTCCGAGGTACCAAGGCCACTTTACAGAATTTGGAAATGAGAATAAAACCAAACGTAGAAATAAATAATGTAAATATGTAAAAAATAATAGTTGAAATTTTTCGTTTGGTATTAACACAGGGTCAACAGACTTGTGATTATATATATGCACTGAGCTGATGTTATAGATGCAGCAACCACTGTGCAGTAGAAGACAGGAGAGGAAGCCGATAAGTTCCTTCGTCACTAGCTCTTCATATTGATTGTGATCCAATAAGCTGAGATAGCTCCGAGGGGGCTCAGAGTATGTGAAACACACTGATTACCAGAGCCTCATTGACTCCATCGAATGGCATCCACACTCCACAGCTTTTGTCTCTGAACTATTTCAGAATTTGAATCATCTTCTGCCTTTAACTATTTCAATTTATTTACAGAAAGATGTGGGAACCACAAGAGTAAATTATGTACATTTACTTTAAATGTCTCTTAAAACGTCAAATATGTTCAGTAAATTGTTACAATAGAGCTTGTGATGAAATAGGTAACATTTCCCTTTAAACAGCCAGAAAGTCTTTTTTTGTCACTTGTAGTTTCAAAGAATGACCACATGATGTCACCTTTTGACAAAACATGAGTATCTAATATTTCCATCCCTTGTCTTTGAGCGTGGCACCATCAACATATTTCATCTGAGTTTTGGATTGTTGGTCATCAACTCACCATTTACCGGAAATTTGATTTTTACATATATATCACGTATAAGTAACGGCTGCTGTGCAGTTCAACATTCTCAAGTTGGAAGTTTTGTCAAAGTGACTCAAATGTCCTCCAAGAGTAAAAGAGGCTGGAGGAAGAGTCCAGCTGTTCCCAGGATACACACAAGGACAAAAACCCACAGGAAGATCCTGTCAATCACCATGGCAACGTACTTCCAGTCATCCTGAACCTGAGAGGACATCACAGAAGAAACATTTTAGATTCTTGAAAGCTGATTTTTTTTCTTATAATTTCTAATGAAAGCTTGATTATAGTTGCACTCACCTCCTTTGCTTCATTCTGCAGTCTCATGTTCTCTGCTATGTATTTGACACTCTCAATGGCCTCCCTGATCTCAGGAGAGAGCGGCAAAAGGGACAGTATTCCTCCATCCAGAGACTCGGAGCTGGAGCATTGACTCCCCCCTCCCAACCCAGCATTTCCTCCTGTCAGCGCCGCCAGGCACTCCAGTCCGCCGCTCCCTCCCCCAGAGTCTGCAGGCAGTTTGCTGGATCTCTGGTGCCAGCAGCAGTTGCAGCGGCCCTCATAGCACAAGAACCCAGAGCTTGCCTCTTTTCCAGGGTCTGCGTTCAGGTTATTGAGGTTGGAGAGCTCCGTGTTGTTGAAAAGCCGCTGACGGTTGGTCAGGCTGGACACCACGCTGGAGGCCAGGGCCTGAGGCCTCTGCTGTTTCTGCAGAGTGCCTGACGAATGAATGGTGCAAGGTCTGGCATGCATTGTGTGAACGCTGTCGGCCACCACCAACTTCTCTGGGTCCCTCTCTGGCCTGGTCATGAACATCACTCGAGGGAGCAGTCCCAGGAACACACGCCGCACCCAACAGGGCATCGTGTGGGTCTGTGATGTGCGGTAGTGGACGTTCAAGACAAAAACAGTGATGACAATAGAGAGGGTGACGAAGATCATGGTGAAGAGGAGGTACTCTCCAATCAAGGGTATGACCAGTGATGTGGAAGGGATGGTCTCGGTAATAACCAGCAGGAAGACGGTTAAAGAAAGTAGAACAGAGATGCACAGAGTGACCTTCTCACCACAATCAGATGGCAGGTAGAAGACGAGCACGGTGAGGAAGGAGATGAGCAGACATGGGATTATCATGTTGACAGTATAGAAAAGAGGCAGTCGGCGGATGTACAAAGAGTAAGTGATGTCTGTGTAGATTTCCTCGCAGCAGTTGTACTTAATGTCATGTTTATAACCAGGGGCGTCGATGATCGTCCACTCGCCGCTCTCCCAGAAGTCCTTAAGGTTGATGGTGGAGCCAATTAGCACCAGATCGATCTTGGCCTTGTCGTAGGTCCAGGAGCCGAATTTCATGGTGCAGTTTTGGTAGTCGAAGGGGAAGTACGTGACGTCGATCTTGCAGGAGCTCTTGAAAATTGCCGGAGGGATCCAGGTGACGTCGCCATTGTAACGGAGCAAGGCCTTTGTTTTGTCATCAACCTGGAAATCTCCAACTGCACTGCAGAGACGAAAAAAAGAGAGTGAGGACAACAAAGGCTTAGGTAGAGGGACAGACATAGACTGATGAGTCAGTGAATATTAAGTTGAGGGATATAAACAATTGACTATTGTGTCACGAACAAATGAACCAATTAATGAAATATTGTAGTTTTCATAAATGAGGCTTTGCCTCCTAGATGAGTATTTTGTTTTTTTTATAGACTCTTTTGTTTATGGACTTTTCCTGTGTCCTTGTGTTTAGGTTTGCGTTCATTTGTTTCTTTCTGAGTTCTGTGTTTCCTGTTTTATTTTGAAATGTATACACCTTGTGTATCTCTGCCTTGACTTCCTGTCTCTGTCCTGTTTCCCTCCCCTGTGATTTTCTGCACCTTCCTCATGTGCTTCACCTGTGTTCAATCAACCCTGCCTCCCCTGTCTATATAAGTCTCTCTGCTTCCCTTTGTCTGTTGTCTTACGTTGCCACCCTGCCGTCATTCAGTCACCTTGCCCTCACCAGTGAGTTTTATCGTATTCCTTGTGTTTTGTTTTTGACCTCAGTGTTTTTCTGTTCACAGATTTTAAAGTTTTGCATTTTGTAAGAACTTTGCCTTTTAATAAAATACATTTTTTGCTAGTTTACTTTGCTCCTGCCTTGCTTCTGCACCTTAAACCTAAAACTGCCCATCTGACTTCCTGTTAACAATATGCAAAACAGATAATGGAAAGTGTTTAATGTGTTGTTAAGCTTACTTGTTGTACAGCACAATGTCTGGCTTCCATATCCTGTTGGATGGCACGCGGATATACTCAACCCCTCCGAAATCTTTTGGATTCCATCTCAGTTTGTAATCATTCCAGACCTGGGAAACACACCAGAATGATTCATCTACAGTCAAACAAATAAAACCAAAATAATATCAAACTAAATCTCTGACAAAAATCACTTTGTGATCACATGCACTAACATTTTCTGTAACTTCCTGATTTGGTAAAACTGAAGATGAACAAGTCTCTGTCCTTTGTAAAATTGTTTTTAATTGTTATAAGTTTTGGACATAAATTGAATTGATGAATCCAAACCTTTCACTGCAATTTGACTGCTCAATGAAGGCAATATTTATCTGATGCATAATATACATCTACAAATACCTGCAAGATTACATTTAATGCCAAAAATAATCAAAATAGCAGCTCATAGCAAACCAACGTTAAGAGTCTGTTCCTATATTAGCAGCTGTGAGAGCCTGTATTTGAGCTAAATGCTAACATTAATATATTTATCATGTGTCTTAGTTCAGAATACAAGCACGCTTGTAATTGCAAAGAAATACAAAAGTATTTTCTACCATGTTTATTCCAAACAAAGTTGAAAGCAAGTGCTGGAAATCCATCTTCATGCAAGAATAACTTGGAGGATGGTTTACTCTAAACAAGTTGTTTACATAAAGCTATAAAGCAGTATCATTTAATTATTTAAATATCATTCAATTATTTTAATCCATAATTTAAAAGTTATTAAATTTATTCTATGAAAGTAAAAAGTAGAAGTAATTTCCTCTTATCTTTTGCTATAAATGCCTGCTCTGATTTTAAAATGTCCCTCATTAAAACAATGGGAAGTCATCATTCTCAACTGAGGTGTGTGTGTGTGTGTGTGTGTGTGTGTGTGTGTGTGTGTGTGTGTGTGTGTGTGTGTGTGTGTG